TATTATTGTGTGACTGCAAACAGGGAAGTGTCACTTCCCCATGCTTTCTTGGATTGGTAGGACATACTGATGAGACGTGACTGAAGACGGATTCATTAACAAGGATCAGTTTGACTAGGCTCCCTGTTCTCAGTACAGGTAAACTGCCAACATGGTTCTTATTGTTGTGTTGAAAATATGCCAGGAGGTATTGTTTACTGCGTTGGTCTGAGTCTAAAATTACGTACACTGTGGGGGTGGAGAATCAGGTACTGTATTGATTGATAGAATTACGATGGTGCTAATATTGGTTGGATTATGTTCAGATTGACATTAGTTGAAGAATTTTATTTTTTTAAATTTTTAATTCACTTCTTAAAAGTACTTTTTGTCCAATGTATCAGAAATCAAAATATGTTTAATCCAGAAATGTGAGCATCTTTTATTTTTAAATTTTTTTTTTATCATTAATTGAATGCTTCACTGATATTTAATTCTGAAAACGTATGGATATTTTTATTAGCTCTGAAAAACTTATTATATTCAAATGTGTATCATGTTTATGAACAGTTTACACAATCCTTCCATACATTTCTCAATTATTTCTGAATCTCCTCATGTCTTGTAGTTTAGTCATTAGTATCATTTCTCAAATAGATAAATAGATTTAACAGAGTCTTATGTATGCTTTCTTTGAGTAGTGTATGTTGAAATGCAGTGAAACCTTGATAGTTTCATACTGTGAATATTTGAATATATATGGTCAGCAAACCAAACCTATACTGTCTACATCTAGACTCAGTTGCATCCTCATGTTCAAGGAGATTTAGAGACATTACAACATAATGTTGTTTTATTAAATGATGTATTGTTGCTTATGAGGCACATTGCTAAACGGGGGCGGGGGGGACATGGGGGGCTCAGTCGTCTTAGGTGCCACAGTTCATTGTACAGAGTTGCGTCCCTTGGGCATGCCAGAAACCTATGATTGTGGGTTCGAATCCCGGTTCGCCCTGATTGTTTCTAGGTTTGTCAGCACCATACCTGTCCTCATGGATTTCACCAAAGACAAACATCTAAGACCTGTATCACTTCGGGCTTTCCTTCCACATCAAGCTGACACACCGTGATATAACTGGAATATTGTTAAAAGTGGCGTTAAACCCAACTCACTCACTCACAATTCTAAACAAGATAGAAACATGAAAGGGAGTTGGCCCAGTAGATCACTCCATTGAGTTTGTCATGACAAAAGCCACTAGTCATGAGTTTAAATCCAAGATTTTTCAGAGATTATGAACCTTGGGATGTGAGCATCATACGAGTGCTCTTGGTTTCATAAAAGTGCCCCCCGTCAAGATCCAGGTTAGAATAGGTCTTCAGCAACCCATGCTTGTCGTAAGAGGCGACTAACGGGATCGGGTGGTCAGGCTCACTGACTCGGTTGATGCACGCCATCATATCCCAATTGCGTAAATTGATGCTTATGATGTCAATCACTGGATTGTCTAATCCAGACTTGATTATTTACAGACTACCATCATATAGTAGGAATACTGCTGGGTGCGACGTTAAACAACAAACAAACAAACAAACACATCTTCCATCTGCATCACTTTGAATGAATGTGCCTCCAATATTCAGTTGACATACTCCGATATACCGTATTTGACGTAATAAGTGCCCCGCTCTAATAAGCGCCCACAGCGATATTTGCTAATATCTTTGCGAGTGAACAATCTCAATCAGTACCCCTTCCAATTGATCAATGTACACAAGACGTATTTATTCGTGTATAATACGCACTCGTGTGTTATGTCACCCTTAATTATGAGCAATTAAATTCTTAAAAAATATATCTGTCGTATGTAAACATTTCAGGCTGTCAGCATAAACCATGAAATTTACAATCTTTCAAGTTTCAACTCAAAATAATATTCTAATAAGCGCCCCCTATTTCTAATTTTGAGAGCGCCCTGGCGTTGAATACAGTATTTGAAATACTAATCGAAGTAGAAATAGATTTAACGTATGTTTTGTTAAAGTGTGCACCAGGTGCTGATAAGGCCACACATTTATCATTTTTCAATTCATGAGCCCATCGCCCTGACTGAAAAACAGCTGGTCTTCAAAATAAATAAAACATAAAAACAAAAAAATCCTGCTACTCGTATAGACCTCTTATGCAATATAAAATGTTATGTATAAATTCCATGTCTACATCTCTATCAGTGATTCAAGAAGCCAGCTGCAGTTGTAACTCCACAGCAGAATGACTTTCATATAGATTCTAAATAAATAAATAATGAACATTTATTTTTATTATTATTTCGACTGACCTAGTGTGGAGAAGCTGGAATAAATCTGTGAAACATAATATTAAAAAAGTGTGGGCTAAGGATGTTTGGGTTTGTCAGGAAAATTTAAGTGTGCCACCTTAGGAATTATTTACAATGAAAAACGTGCTCATTAAGTGTAGATTCAGATGCATCTTCCCGAGGCAAGGGAGTTAACTGACTATAAAAGTCCAGTTTCCACCCTTGCCGAAGTAGGCTGGTATTATGGAGTTACATTTTGGCCTTGACTAACGAGTCTGTGCATAGTCCAATCAAAATCTCGCAATGAAATCGAAATCCGGTTCGTAAACTGTCATGCAGATTTCGGTCGATTGCAGGATTTGCAAAGCATGTGCATCGCCAACTCGTTGTCAACAGATATTTTCCAAACCTTTTCATATTTTTAATCAAGGTCCTCATGTGATTTGATGCACTTCGCGATGTAAGACACGTTTTATCACAATATAGATCCTGATTATCGATCAGATTGTCTTGACTGGGCACCGCCATTTTGTTTGAAACAAATGCAAGTGATGGAATCGGATTGGTCCATAGGAGAGGCTTAGAAGGGACATAACTCATAATAACCACTGGTGGCGCAACGATCGAGCCCAGGAATTCCAGCCTAGTTCGGCAAGGGTGAAGACTGGACTTTTAAAGTCAGTTAACTCTCTTGCCTCGGGAAGATGATTCAGATGTAGCTCAAATGAACACTTTATCGAGATGGAAAGATATATGGGGATCTTAAGAGAACACAGAATTTGTCAGTTTTGTGATTTTACCACTGTAGAAACTAAATACCATTTCTCACTAATATGTCCCTAATGTATGCTGAACTCAAAATACAGTTCATTGATAAATATTATATCCTTTATCCTAGTTTACAGAAATTTGTTTCATTAATGTCTAGGAACAATTATATAGCGAAAAAGCTGTCACAGTACATACTGCATGCAATAAAACCTAAGAAGTTCCAAATATGTTACATTACAAATGTGTACACCCATTACATATAGCATGTAGCGTTGGCCTTTAGCCTCTCAGAATTATGAGTGGGTGGGTGAGTTTGGTTTTACACCGCTTTTAGTAATATTCCAGCAATATCACGGACAACAGACATGGGCTTCACATATGTACCCATGTGGGGAATTGAACCCGGGTCTTCGACCGTGATGAGAGAATGCTTTAACCACTAGGCTACCCCACCGCCCCCTTAGTATTATGAATAAACATAAATAGAAACAAGTGCATTCATATGTTGTTCATGCTATCCTTGTTTCAGCAATTCTATGATTTTAACCATGCTTTTACCACATTAATAAGGATTTTGAATTTAGTTTGACTCAATCTCACTTAGAACATGATATACTGTAAATGTTTCTGATTTAAATGGAATTTATGGCAGCGAGACATCCAGACTCCACTCTCTTCCCAGCACCACGCATCATTATTATATTATATTATATTATATTATATTATATTATATTATATTATATTATATTATATTATATTATATTATATTATATTATATTATATTATATTATATTATAAGCCTGAAATATGTATTAATTTTATCAGTATATGATCTGTATTATTTCAGAACTATATACAGGATATATACTACTCAAAAGAAGTTCAAGAACAGACAGATAACTAGTAATTTAAAGAATCAGGAGCTCTTAAACTTCTTTTATTGCTGTGCAGAGTTGCGTCCCTTGGAAACGTGGGAAAACTATGATTGTGGGTTCGAATCCTGGTTCGCCCCAATTATGTTTCTAGGTTTGTCAGCCGTGCTCGTGGGTTTCACCAAAGTGGTAAACATCTGAGACCTGCATCATTTCAGGTTTTTCCAACATCAAGCTGACATGCCATGATGTAACGGAAATACTTTTAAATGGCGTGAAACCCAACTCACTCACTCACTGTCAAGGGGATGGAGAATTCAATGATATAAATGATTTCATTGGATTTATCAAAAAGGACATGATCAAGTTTGTTGGCCTGGATACATCTGAGGCTGTATACGGGCCTATTCCAAATGATTTTGTATTTATCATTTTCCATGACACCCTCTACATATTCCGGGGTACCATGGATTATTATTATTGTTGTTGTAGTTGTAGTTCACAGATATTGGTGTCTTTGGACTATAGATATGTGCGTTCGTCCACTCATATTTAGCACAGGAAAGTGGGCTTGATGTGGCAAGGGTGGAAACAAGACTTTGATATAAAAAGGCCAGTGGACGTTCTTGTTTATGGAAGATGGTGGTTGTCAGGTGGTCTAGTGGTTAAAGTGTTCACTCGTCACACCGAAGACCTGGTTCGATTCCCGACATTGGTACAATGTGTGAAGCCCATTTCTGGTGTCCCCCATGTGGATATTGCTGGAATATTGCTACAAGCGGCGTGAAACCATACTTACTACAGGTCACATAGTTCTACATTAGCAAACAGTGTGTATTTCTCCCAAGTCACTATGAAGTAAGATATTTTAAATGTTGTTTGAAAAATAATTATACCCCCCGTTTACGAAGTAAATCGGGGGTATATAGCGTTCCATCTGTGGGTGTTTTGTATGGCCTATATCTTTTTAACTATGCACCTTAGCATCACCAAACTTTCTACACACATTAACCACAATGAGTACTTGTGCCTTTTGCTAGTTTGAAGATTCTGAATTTTTTAATTTTTGCCGTTTCCATGGAAACATTAGAAACTTAAACTTTTAGGGTGGGTGTTTTGTACGGCCCATATCTTTTTAACCATGCACCCTAGCTTCACCAAACGTGCTACTCCCATTTGCCACAATGAGTACTTGTGCCTTTTGCTAGTTTGAAGATTCTGAATTTTTTAATTTTTGCAGTTTCCATGGACACATTAAGAAACATCAAGAATGTATGTTGTGCTAAGTATTTATTGATTATCCCACACTAGATTGAAATATATTTGCAAAAACATGTGTTCATTTCAAACATAATGCATCCTCATGGGGTTACAAAGGAAATGGCAGTTCCTCTGACTTAAAGCAACAGGTATATTTCATTAATTAACAAACTATTTACTATCTGTTGTTGACCAGCAGGGATAATGGGGGTATGTGAGCTTTGCTCACTTCTTTCTTGTTTTATATGTATACAGGTCGAAATGTGTGTCAGATGTGAAGACTACCGCGACACGAAATCTGACTGAAATGCACACCTGTCTGATGTAATCTATACCCAAACAAGTTTTGTTGGGACAGGTGGCTTTGACAGGTGGAGCCACACAGATAGATATATGCCTTAGGGATAGGATTCCTATTGATTTTCAATGATGAACACATACATCATTGACAAACGGGAAATGTGCTTTTATAAATGATGTGTTATCTATATTGCTATGATTGAGATGAAATAACAGGCTATCAATAGTCTATAATGAGTTTATCACTCTGATTTGAGGATATTTTGGTCGTAACAAAGGTGTGGGAGAATATGTTGTAGATTAATGGTTGTAAAAATCTTGATGAGTCTTATTTCACCACAGATATTGATCAGCCTGGCTGAAGAAGTTGTTTTTTATGCAAATTTGACGCATCAGTGACAAAAACTATGTCCGATCAAATTCCCTATTTTGACTCTGTTTATTCAGGTGAACAATCGATTTGCCTCGGCAAGGTGGGGATGAATAGGACGGATGGATGAATGGACAGGGGGATGGATGAACAGGAGGGATGGATGAACAGGAGGGATGGATCGACAGGAGGGATGGATGAACAGGAGGAATGGATGGACAGGAGGGATGGATGGATGGACAGGAGGGATGGATGGATGAACAGGAGGGATGGATGGATGAACAGGAGGAAGGGATGGATGGACAGGGGGATGTATGAACAGGAGGGATGGATGGATGAACAGGAGGGATGGATGGATGGACAGGGGGATGGATGGATGAACAGGAGGGATCGATGATGGACAGGAGGGATAGATGGATGAAGAGGAGGGATGGATGGATGAACAGTAGGGATGGATGATGGACAGGAGGGATGGATGGATGAAGAGGAGGGATGGATGGATGAAGAGGAGGGATGGATGGATGGACAGGAGGGATGGATGAACAGGAAGGAGGGAGGGATGAACAGGAGGGATGGATGAACAGGATGGATGGATGCACAGGAGGGATGGATGAACAGGAGGGAGGGATGGATGATGAACAGGAGGGATGGATGAACAGGAGGGAGGGATGGATGATGCACAGGAGGGATGGATGAACAGGAGGGATGGATGATGGACAGGAGGGATGGATGGATGAAGAGGAGGGATGGATGGATGAACAGGAGGGATGGATGGATGGACAGGGGGGATGGATGATGGACAGGAGGGATGGATGGATGGACAGGAGGGATGGATGGATGAAGAGGAGGGATGGATGGATGAACAGGAGGGATGGATGGATGGACAGGAGGGATGGATGATGGACAGGATGGATGGATGGATGAAGAGGAGGGATGGATGGATGAACAGGAGGGATGGATGGATGGACAGGGGGGATGGATGATGGACAGGAGGGATGGATGGATGAAGAGGAGGGATGGATGGATGAACAGGAGGGATGGACAGGGGGATGGATGAACAGGAGGGATGGATGGATGAAGAGGAGGGATGGATGGATGGACAGGAGGGATGGATGGATGGACAGGAGGGATGGATGGGTGGACAGGAGGGATGGATGAACAGCCATGAAATGGGGTGGGGGATATAGGAATGGAGCTCGTCTGTTTGAATAGATGGAGAGATAGGTTTCTGATTGGAATAGATGGAGAGATAGGTTTCTGATTTGAATAGATGGAGAGATAGGTTTCTGATTGGAATAGATGGAGAGATAGGTTTCTGATTTGAATAGATGGAGAGATAGGTTTCTGATTTGAATAGATGGAGAGATAGGTTTCTGATTTGAATAGATGGAGAGATAGGTTTCTGATTTGAATAGATGGAGAGATAGGTTTCTGATTGGAATAGAGAGATAGGTTTCTGATTGGAATAGAGAGATAGGTTTCTGATTGGAATAGATGGAGAGATAGGTTTCTGATTGGAATAGATGGAGAGATTGGTGTCTGATTGGAATAGATGGAGAGATAGGTTTCTGATTGGAATAGAGAGATAGGTTCCTTATTGGATTGCTTGATGGATGGGTTTCTGATGGGTTTTCTTATGTGCACAGATAGATGGATTCTGTTTGGATGGATTGATAGATGAGTTTCTGATTGGAGGATAGGTTGATTATCTGATTGGATTGTTGGATAGATGGGTTTCTGTAAGGGATTGATTAATAGATATGTTCTTCTTGGATTGTTAGATGGGTTTTATAAAATGTGGAATGTCACATATGCATTTCTTATTCAAAACTTACATAAGAAAGTCTGTACATGACTTTGTTTCAGTTTCAGGTGGGATGTCTAACATAACTTGAACCTCAGTTGGTTTTCTTTGTCAAAACTTGATAAAGCTGTCATGATTTGTTTCAGTTTCAGGTGGGATGTCAAGAATAGTGCAGGCTATTGTTGATTTCTTCTTCAAGACGTATCAAACACACATCTGAAAGACCAATATGCAAATCTATTTCAGTTTGAGGTGGGATGTTTAGAGGGACGTGGGTTGTGGTTGCCGTGGCGCTCATCTGCTGCAGCTCCACCTGGGGCCTCGATGACATCCAGGCAGGTGTTCCACCAGAACTGACCCGTAGAGCCATGCAAGATGCCATGGATGAGAGGCAGTCCGATGAATACCGCCATTTGTTGGCTGACCAGGTCGAGATCCAGCGTCGGGCTGAAGAAGCAGAAAACCTTGCTGCAGCAGAGGAAGAATACGAGAGGATCAAATACAACATGAAGCGAGAAGAAGATGCTGAGGACCCTGATGCTGAAAGCAGTCGTGTGTCAGCTCATATATCTGCAGATAAAAGGATCAAGAGATCCGGTCAAGGTGCTCCTATGGGAAGAAGCAATCGGTTTTGTGATGACGCCCAAGTAAGTGTTTATTCTGTAGCCTGTGTATCTCATAGCTGTGTGTTGTATACATGCTGAAGTATGACTAGCATATGACATGTGTATCTCATAGCTGTGTGTTGTATACAGGCTGAAGTATGACTAGCGTATGACATGTGTATCCCATAGCTGTGTGTTGTATACATGCTGAAGTATGACTAGCGTATGACATGTGTATCTCATAGCTGTGTGTTGTATACATGCTGAAGTATGACTAGCATATGACATGTGTATCCCATAGCTGTGTGTTGTATACATGCTGAAGTATGACTAGCGTATGACATGTGTATCTCATAGCTGTGTGGTGTATACAGGCTGAAGTAAGACTAGCGTATGACATGTGTATCCCATAGCTGTGTGTTGTATACATGCTGGAGTATGACTAGCGTATGACATGTGTATCCCATAGCTGTGTGTTGTATACATGATGAAGTATGACTAGCGCATGACATGTGTATCCCATAGCTGTGTGTTGTATACATGCTGAAGTATGACTAGCGTATGACATGTGTATCCCATAGCTGTGTGTTGTATACATGCTGAAGTATGACTAGCGTATGACATGTGTATCCCATAGCTGTGTGTTGTATACATGCTGAAGTATGACTAGCGTATGACATGTGTATCCCATAGCTGTGTGTTGTATACAGGCTGAAGTATGACTAGTGTATGACATGTGTATCCCATAGCTGTGTGATGTATACATGCTGAAGTATGACTAGCATATGACATGTGTATCCCATAGCTGTGTGTTGTATACATGCTGAAGTATGACTAGTGTATGACATGTGTATCCCATAGCTGTGTGATGTATACATGCTGAAGTATGACTAGAGTATGACATGTGTATCCCATAGCAGTGTGTTGTATACATGCTGAAATATGACTAGAGTATGATATGTGTATCCCATAGCTGTGTGTTGTATACATGCTGAAGTATGACTAGTGTATGACATGTGTATCTCATAGCTGTATGTTGTATACATGCTGAAGTATGACTAGAGTTTGACATGTGTATCCCATAGCTGTGTGTTGTATACATGCTGAAGTATGACTAGCGTATGACATGTGTATCCGATAGCTGTATGTTGTATACATGCTGAAGTATGACTAGAGTATGACATGTGTATCTCATAGCTGTGTGTTGTATACATGCTGAAGTATGACTAGCGTATGACATGTGTATCCCATAGCTGTGTGTTGTATACATGCTGAAGTATGACTAGCGTATGACATGTGTATCTCATAGCTGTGTGGTGTATACAGGCTGAAGTAAGACTAGCGTATGACATGTGTATCCCATAGCTGTGTGTTGTATACATGCTGGAGTATGACTAGCGTATGACATGTGTATCCCATAGCTGTGTGTTGTATACATGATGAAGTATGACTAGCGTATGACATGTGTATCCCATAGCTGTGTGTTGTATACATGCTGAAGTATGACTAGCGTATGACATGTGTATCCCATAGCTGTGTGTTGTATACATGCTGATTTTGAAGTATGACTAGCGTATGACATGTGTATCTCATAGCTGTGTGTTGTATACATGCTGAAATATGACTAGCGTATGACATGTGTATCCCATAGCTGTATGTTGTATACATGCTGAAGTATGACTAGTGTATGACATGTGTATCTCATAGCTGTGTGTTGTATACATGCTGAAATATGACTAGCGTATGACATGTGTATCCCATATCTGTATGTTGTATACATGCTGAAGTATGACTAGAGTATGACATGTGTATCTCATAGCTGTGTGTTGTATACATGCTGAAGTATGACTAGCGTATGACATGTGTATCCCATAGCTGTGTGTTGTATACAGGCTGAAGTATGACTAGCGTATGACATGTGTATCTCATAGCTGTGTATTGTATACAGGCTGAAGTATGACTAGAGTTTGACATGTGTACCCCATACCTGTGTGTTGTATACATGCTGAAGTATGACTAGCGTATGACATGTGTATCTCATAGCTGTGTGTTGTATACATGCTGAAATATGACTAGCGTATGACATATGTATCCCATAGCTGTATGTTGTATACATGCTGAAGTATGACTAGTGTATGACATGTGTATCTCATAGCTGTGTGTTGTATACAGGCTGAAATATGACTAGCGTATGACATGTGTATCCCATATCTGTATGTTGTATACATGCTGAAGTATGACTAGCGTATGACATGTGTATCCCATAGCTGTGTGTTGTATACAGGCTGAAGTATGACTAGCGTATGACATGTGTATCCCATAGCTGTGTGTTGTATACAGGCTGAAGTATGACTAGCGTATGACATGTGTATCTCATAGCTGTGTGTTGTATACAGGCTGAAGTATGACTAGCGTATGACATGTGTATCCCATACCTGTGTGTTGTATACATGCTGAAGTATGACTAGCGTATGACATGTGTATCCCATACCTGTGTGTTGTATACATGCTGATGTATGACTAGCGTATGACATGTGTATCCCATAGCTGTATGTTGTATACAGGCTGATGTATGACTAGAGTATGACATATGTATCCCATAGCTGTGTGTTGTATACATGCTGAAGTATGACTAGCGTATGACATGTGTATCCCATAGCTGTGTGTTGTATACATGCTGAAGTATGACTAGCGTATGACATGTGTATCCCATAGCTGTGTGTTGTATACAGGCTGAAGTATGACTAGCGTATGACATGTGTATCCCATAGCTGTGTGTTGTATACAGGCTGAAGTATGACTAGCATATGACATGTGTATCCCATAGCTGTGTGTTGTATACAGGCTGAAGTATGACTAGCGTATGACATGTGTATCTCATAGCTGTGTGTTGTATACATGCTGAAGTATGACTAGAGTATGACATGTGTATCTCATAGCTGTGTGTTGTATACATGCTGAAGTATGACTAGCATATGACATGTGTATCTCATAGCTGTGTGTTGTATACATGCTGAAGTATGACTAGCGTATGACATGTGTATCCCATAGCTGTATGTTGTATACATGCTGAAGTATGACTAGAGTATGACATGTGTATCTCATAGCTGTGTGTTGTATACATGCTGAAGTATGACTAGCGTATGACATGTGTATCCCATAGCTGTGTGATGTATACATGCTGAAGTATGACTAGCGTATGACATGTGTATCCCATAGCTGTATGTTGTATACATGCTGAAATATGACTAGTGTATGACATGTGTATCTCATAGCTGTGTGTTGTATACAGGCTGAAGTATGACTAGCGTATGACATGTGTATCTCATAGCTGTATGTTGTATACATGCTGAAATATGACTAGCATATGACATGTGTATCCCATAGCTGTATGTTGTATACATGCTGAAGTATGACTAGCATATGACATGTGTATCTCATAGCTGTGTGTTGTATACATGCTGGAGTATGACTAGAGTATGACATGTGTATCCCATAGCTGTGTGTTGTATACAGGCTGAAGTATGACTAGCATATGACATGTGTATCTCATAGCTGTGTGTTGTATACATGCTGAAGTATGACTAGAGTATGACATGTGTATCTCATAGCTGTGTGTTGTATACATGCTGAAGTATGACTAGCATATGACATGTGTATCTCATAGCTGTGTGTTGTATACATGCTGGAGTATGACTAGAGTATGACATGTGTATCTCATAGCTGTGTGTTGTATACATGCTGAAGTATGACTAGCATATGACATGTGTATCTCATAGATGTGTGTTGTATACATGCTGAAATATGACTAGCGTATGACATGTGTATCTCATAGCTGTGTGTTGTATACCTGCTGAAGTATGACTAGCGTATGACATGTGTATCCCATAGCTGTGCGTTGTATACATGCTGAAGTATGACTAGAGTATGACATGTGTATCCCATAGCTGTGTGTTGTATACATGCTGAAATATGACTAGCGTATGACATGTGTATCCCATATCTGTATGTTGTATACATGCTGAAGTATGACTAGCGTATGACATCTGTATCCCATAGCTGTGTGTTGTATACAGGCTGAAGTATGACTAGCGTATGACATGTGTATCCCATAGCTGTGTGTTGTATACAGGCTGAAGTATGACTAGCATGTGACATGTGTATCTCATAGCTGTGTGTTGTATACAGGCTGAAGTATGACTAGCGTATGACATGTGTATCCCATACCTGTGTGTTGTATACATGCTGAAGTATGACTAGCGTATGACATGTGTATCCCATACCTGTGTGTTGTATACATGCTGATGTATGACTAGCGTATGACATGTGTATCCCATAGCTGTATGTTGTATACAGGCTGATGTATGACTAGAGTATGACATGTGTATCCCATAGCTGTGTGTTGTATACATGCTGAAGTATGACTAGCGTATGACATGTGTATCCCATAGCTGTGTGTTGTATACATGCTGAAGTATGACTAGCGTATGACATGTGTATCCCATAGCTGTGTGTTGTATACAGGCTGAAGTATGACTAGCGTATGACATGTGTATCCCATAGCTGTGTGTTGTATACAGGCTGAAGTATGACTAGCATATGACATGTGTATCCCATAGCTGTGTGTTGTATACAGGCTGAAGTATGACTAGCGTATGACATGTGTATCTCATAGCTGTGTGTTGTATACATGCTGAAGTATGACTAGAGTATGACATGTGTATCTCATAGCTGTGTGTTGTATACATGCTGAAGTATGACTAGCATATGACATGTGTATCTCATAGCTGTGTGTTGTATACATGCTGAAGTATGACTAGCGTATGACATGTATATCCCATAGCTGTATGTTGTATACATGCTGAAGTATGACTAGAGTATGACATGTGTATCTCATAGCTGTGTGTTGTATACATGCTGAAGTATGACTAGCGTATGACATGTGTATCCCATAGCTGTGTGATGTATACATGCTGAAGTATGACTAGCGTATGACATGTGTATCCCATAGCTGTATGTTGTATACATGCTGAAATATGACTAGTGTATGACATGTGTATCTCATAGCTGTGTGTTGTATACAGGCTGAAGTATGACTAGCGTATGACATGTGTATCTCATAGCTGTATGTTGTATACATGCTGAAATATGACTAGCGTATGACATGTGTATCCCATAGCTGTATGTTGTATACATGCTGAAGTATGACTAGCATATGACATGTGTATCTCATAGCTGTGTGTTGTATACATGCTGGAGTATGACTAGCTTATGACATGTGTATCTCATAGCTGTGTGTTGTATACATGCTGAAGTATGACTAGCATATGACATGTGTATCTCATAGATGTGTGTTGTATACATGCTGAAATATGACTAGCGTATGACATGTGTATCTCATAGCTGTGTGTTGTATACCTGCTGAAGTATGACTAGCGTATTACATGTGTATCCCATAGCTGTGCGTTGTATACATGCTGAAGTATGACTAGAGTATGACATGTGTATCCCATAGCTGTGTGTTGTATACATGCTGAAGTATGACTAGCGTATGACATGTGTATCCCATAGCTGTATGTTGTATACATGCTGAAGTATGACTAGCATATGACATGTGTATCCCATAGCTGTGTGTTGTTACATGCTGAAGTATGACTAGCGTATTACATGTGTATCCCATAGCTGTGCGTTGTATACATGCTGAAGTATGACTAGAGTATGACATGTGTATCCCATAGCTGTGCGTTGTATACATGCTGAAGTATGACTAGAGTATGACATGTGTATCTCATAGCTGTGTGTTGTATACATGCTGAAGTATGACTAGAGTATGACATGTGTATCTCATAGCTGTGTGCTGTATACATGCTGAAGTATGACTAGCGTATGACATGTGTATCTCATAGCTGTGTGCTGTATACCTGCTGAAGTATGACTAGCTTATGACATGTGTATCTCATAGCTGTATGTTGTATACATGCTGAAGTATGACTAGAGTATGACATGTGTATCTCATAGCTGTGTGTTGTATACATGCTGAAGTATGACTAGCGTATGACATGTGTATCTCATAGCTGTATGTTGTATACATGCTGGAGTATGACTAGCATATGACATGTGTATCTCATAGCTGTGTGTTGTATACATGCTGAAGTATGACTAGAGTATGACATGTGTATCTCATAGATGTGTGTTGTATACATGCTGAAGTATGACTAGAGTATGACATGTGTATCTCATAGATGTGTGTTGTATACATGCTGAAGTATGACTAGCATATGACATGTGTATCTCATAGCTGTGTGTTGTATACATGCTGAAGTATGACTAGAGTATGACATGTGTATCTCATAGATGTGTGTTGTATACCTGCTGAAGTATGACTAGCTTATGACATGTGTATCTCATAGCTGTGTGATGTATACATGCTGAAGTATGACTAGCATATGACATGTGTATCCCATAGCTGTGTGATATACATAGCTGTATGTTGTATACATGCTGAAGTATGACTAGCATATGACATGTGTATCCTATAGCTGTATGTTGTATACATGCTGAAGTATGACTCGTGTATAACATGTGATTACTATGTTGCAGCACATACTGAAGTATGACTAGTGTATACTATGTTGCAGCACATGCTGAAGTATGACTTGTGTATACTATGTTGCAGCACATGCTGAAGTATGACTGGTGTATAACATGTGATTACTATGTTGCAGCACATACTGAAGTATGACTGGTGTATATTATGTTGCAGCACGGGCTGAAGTATGACTGGTGTATACTATGTTACAGCACATGCTGAAGTATGACTGGTGTATACTATGTTGCAGCACATGCTGAAGTATGACTGGTGTATACTATGTTGCAGCACATGCTGAAGTATGACTGGTGTATACTATGTTGCAGCACATGCTGAAGTATGACTGGTGTATACTATGTTGCAGCACGGGCTGAAATATGACTGGGACCCGGATAATCCTGCTAATGCCATCAACTATACATGTTACAGTCAGCAGCTGGACCCTGTGAGTCTTTTCTGAATGTCACTCATTACTTTAAGGCAATAAAGGGTTCACACCAGGAAGGGGTTCACACCAGGAAGGGCTTCACACCAGGAGAGGTTTCACACCATAAAGGGGTTCACACCAGGAAGGGGTTCACACAAGGAAGGGCTTCACACCAGGAGAGGTTTCACACCATAAAGGGGTTCACACCAGGAAGGGGTTCAAACCAGGAAGGGCTTCACACCAGGAGAGGTTTCACACCATAAAGGGGTTCACACCAGGAAGGGGTTCACACCAGGAAGGGCTTCACACCAGGAGAGGTTTCACACCATAAAGGGGTTCACACCAGGAAGGGCTTCACACCAGGAGAGGTTTCACACCATAAAGGGGTTCACACCAGGAAGGGCTTCACACCAGGAGAGGTTTCACACCATAAAGGGGTTCACACCATAAAGGGGTTCACACCAGGAAGGGCTTAACACCAGGAGAGGTTTCACACCAGGAAGGGGTTCACACAAGGAAGGGGTTCACACAAGGAAGAGTTTCACAACAGGAAGGGGTTCAATCACAGTTTTGAATTTTGAGCTGTAAGCGCCAATGAGCTTTTGATCAAAGCACAAATCAGTCATATACTTTCAGCAAGTGAAATTTCTTTACATTTTTTTTATTGACTCTTCTCATTTACTATTTATGGCTTTTGAGTAACCACCTGAACATGCTGAACGGACATTGTTTGCATTGCTGTTTGTTTGTTACTAAATGTTGATTTGAAGCTTCACACCAAACTTTCATTACAGAAACATCAAACGTTTAAAGTCCACTGTGAGCACCCACACAAGGTGAGTGAAGTGGGAGGGGTGGTCAAGACATTGATATCATGTTGTGAGGTTCACCCCCCTACGTTAACCAAGAAAACTATACGTGAAAAAAGTCAGCATGAAACCAACAAACATCAAAGAAATATTATAAATTAACAATTGTATTATAAAAACTACTTTGTACAAATCTATACTAATTACTGCGAAGTATTTACAATAGAGTGGCAGTACACGATAGAGCGGCAGTATTTAATTTAATGGCAGTACACAATAGAGTGGCAGTATTTAATTTAATGGCAGTACACAATAGAGTGGCAGTATTTAATTTAATGGCAGTACACAATAGAGTGGCAGTATTTAATTTAATGGCAGTACACAATAGAGGGGCAGTATTTAATTTAATGGCAGTACACAATAGAGGGGCAGTATTTAATTTAATGGCAGTACACAATAGAGGGGCAGTATTTAATTTAATGGCAGTACACAATAGAGTGGCAGTATTTAATTTTATGGCAGTACACAATAGAGGGGCAGTATTTAATTTAATGGCAGTACACAATAGAGGGGCAGTATTTAATTTAATGGCAGAACACAATAGAGTGGCAGTATTTAATTTAATGGCAGTACACAATAGAGGGGCAGTATCTAATTTAATGGCAGTACACAATAGAGTGGCAGTACATGGTGGCAGTACACAATAGAGTGGCAGTATTTAATTTAATGGCAGTACAATTACAAAGGCAGTATAAAATACAATAGCAGTGGTGACAGTAAAAATGTCAGTGATATAGGGCTGGGACGGGTAACTCGGGTACTCGGGTTGGTGGGTCCTGAGTAGGACCTGGGTACCCACAGGACTACCCCGACCTGTGGCAAGTCACGTGATATATTGTTTAATGACAAAACTCTATGGTAACACTACAAGTCACTGATGTTCACATTTTTTTCTGACTGTGCACCTATTCCTTCTGACTTTTCATATGGTTGAATAAAGATATAACTTAGTCAACTTCATTGTATGAATGACCAGATCGTTCAAGGCAATAGAGGTTATCACGCGAGTGTGTTAGGGGATGGTAAATATCCTACATTAGGAATAAACATTGTATTTAGCGAGCCTTGGCGAGCTAAATACATAGTGTTTATTCCTAATACAGGATATTTACCATCCCCAAACACACAAGCGTGATAACCTCTTTTTCATATAATGTCATCTTTAATTCTGTGCTTCAAAAACGCTTTCCCTTTCTCACAAACATTACCGAAACATTGCGAGTTTTCCTGGAATGCGCGCATAAATATTTATTACGTCACATGTAAGTGATGTGTCAGTCAGACAGTGACAGTAGCCAATATAGTTCCAACTGAAATCTGTTCCTTATACAGTGGCGAAGCAACATATACGCAAAACAACAATTGTTTGTAATTGCATTTCGCGGCAATCCATCGGTCTGTCCGCTAGAGTAACTGCACTTTGTCAAAGGGAAGCTACTCTAACCCTAGTCTATGAGACGTCACGACCACGGTCAGACGTTGTTGACAGTCGGTATGTCCTGTCATAACGTTAAGAAGTGTAGTCAGATGTACACAAAGCGAGAAACGAAACAAGGTAACAATTCGAACATATTTCGGCCAAATCCAACTATTTTAATTTGTGGAGAAGGTTTCAAGCCGCAGAGGTCTACAAGCACAGATATGGCTACTGATCCCGCTTGGCTAGGCCTCGTGCCCTCGCAAAATTGTTCGAAATTTATATCTCCAAAGTTGCCAAAACTTATAAAATGCCTTAGCTACGTCACAGTTAGACACTGATTTTCAGTATATTAGACTGTTCTTTTGATAATGATAGCAATTATCCCTGTAGTTTATCCAGATTCGCGATGGTTAATTCTGACTCGATCGCCGAATGACGAGGGCGACGCCATGTTTGTTTATATAAACAGCGAAAGTAGTCCCTACTTGACCTTTGATATTTGCATCTCTATCCGCATATGACCCCAACGGATATCGTTTTTATCCGTTGGCTTTATCCTGCCGAGAAACCTACCCATTGTATGATAATTAGATTTATGTGTCTATCAACTCCTGAAGCTCCACACATTGTTGTCCCCAACTGAGAGCTTATCAAATGCATCATGAGCTGAAATTAACCTTTATCATTAGACTAGGTACAATATGTATTTGCTGTGTGAGTTTTAAGTGTAGAGGTGGAAAATTGTATAGGGAAGGCTTATTTTCTCAGGTCAGTTCGTCGAAAATATAATTAAATAAAAATTCCAATTTCAAATATGTTTTTCTTCCAAATGTTTAGTAGGTTGAAATAAAATGTGGAGGCAGGAGAAAAAGGTAAAGTTTAGAGTTACCTCCCTTCCAGTCTGCCTCCATTTGTTGTAATTTTTTGTGCTTTTTTTAAGATAAATTTTCAACAGGTTTTAATTATCATAAATCACTTATGTAAATTTAGAGGAACAGTAATTGAAGGGTTTTTTTACCCTTTACTTTTATCTGGTCAGCGGAATAAGACATAAATTGCTTTTCATTTTTTAAAGGTCTTTGAGGAGTCGGCGGATTTGTAAACCATTTTAAACAAATCTGGCCTAACCTGTTACATTTTGGTTTGTTCGATCTCTTGCTGACTGTAAGTTATTTTGTCTTCCAGCCAATCCATCGGTGTATGCATTCACCCCTCCATAAGTACTCCGATCCACCAATCAGGTAGGTGATCCTTTTGTTCTTTTGCCCAGTCATCCACAATTTGCCGTGAAGAGTTGCTTCCCTTATTCCCTTAGGTTTAAGCAAGGGAGTGACCATTTGATTGATATTCGGGCTGAGGGGTGGGGGAGTATTTTTTTCAGCTATATCTAAAAAACCAGATATAGTTTTATTTAAGACAGTGAGCTTGTATTGTTTTTAAGAAAACATCTTGCAACAATGTCATTTTTTCTGGCAGGTAAATTCTGTTTTCTTCAACATTCTGAAGCATAATTTATATTCTTTAAGCCATGTCAGGGACAAGGTCCCCCCCCCCCCACCAAGCATGCTCACAACTTACTCTTACACTCACTCACAAGCACTCACACTCACTCCCGCTGGAATATTGCTGAGTGCTACATTAAACATCAAGCAAAAATATCATATAAACTCACTCACTCACTCACTCCCTCACTCACTCACTCCCTCACTCACTCACTCACTCACTCACTCACTCACTCACTCACTCACTCACTCCAACCAAAATTAAATATATACATATAATGATATATATAATATGTACTACTCGAAAGATGTTAAAATAGAACAGATCTTTTCATATGACCATAGTTCATCTGTCATGGCAAGGAGTAGTAAATATATTGAAAAAATATTTTGAACCTTTCACTTTTGAAGGTGATCTGAATTCAAGCAGCAAGTCACTTTCCTGCCCTTCTATTGTTATCCCAGCTTATGATCTTTCTTCAATACAATAAAACTGGGAATATGAAATAGAGAATGGATCTCCTCAATTAAATATTTCACCTGTGTGATTTACAGCGGTGACCATCGACCTCTGTGGGCCAGGTACGGAGAATACACCTTCCTTCCATGGCAACGGTGGCTTCACAACCTGGAGGTATGTCATACACCGTTATATATACCAACACGCTATGTCATACACTATCATATATACCAACACGCTATGTCATACACTATCATATATACCAACACGCTATGTCATACACCATTATATATACCAACACGCTATGTCATACACCATTATATATACCAACACGCTATGTCATACACCATTATATATACCAACACGCTATGTCATACACTATCATATATACCAACACGCTATGTCATACACCATTATATATACCAACACGCTATGTCATACACTATCATATATACCAACACACTATGTCATACACCATTATATATACCAACACGCTATGTCATACACCATTATATATACCAACACGCTATGTCATACACCATTATATATACCAACACGCTATGTCATACACTATCATATATACCAACACGCTATGTCATACACTATTATATATACCAACACGCTATGTCATACACCATTATATATACCAACACGCTATGTCATACACCATTATATATACCAACACGCTATGTCATACACTATCATATATACCAACACGCTATGTCATACACCATTATATATACCAACACGCTATGTCATACACTATCATATATACCAACACGCTATGTCATACACCATTATATATACCAACACGCTATGTCATACACTATCATATATACCAACACACTATGTCATACACCATTATATATACCAACACGCTATGTCATACACCATTATATATACCAACACGCTATGTCATACACTATCATATATACCAACACGCTATGTCATACACCATTATATATACCAACACACTATGTCATACACTATCATATATACCAACACGCTATGTCATACACCATTATATATACCAACACGCTATGTCATACACCATTATATATACCAACACGCTATGTCATACACCATTATATATACCAACACGCTATGTCATACACTATTATATATACCAACACGCTATGTCATAAACCATCATATATACCAACACACTATGTCATACACCATTATATATACCAACACACTATGTCATACACCATTATACATACATACAAGCTGTGTCATACACCATCATACATACCAACAAGTGTTGTCATACACCATTAAACATACCAACAAGCTTTGTCATACACCATTATACATACCAACACGCTATGTCATACACCATTATATATACCAACGCGCTATGTCATACACTATCATATATACCAACACGCTATGTCATACACCATTATATATACCAACACGCTATGTCATACACCATTATATATACCAACACGCTATGTCATACACTATCATATATACCAACACGCTATGTCATACACTATTATATATACCAACACGCTATGTCATACACCATTATATATACCAACACGCTATGTCATACACCATTATATATACCAACACGCTATGTCATACACCATTATATATACCAACACGCTATGTCATACACTATCATATATACCAACACGCTATGTCATACACCATTATATATACCAACACGCTATGTCAAACACTATCATATATACCAACACGCTATGTCATACACCATTATAAATACCAACACGCTATGTCATACACCATTATATATACCAACACGCTATGTCATACACTATCATATATACCAACACGCTATGTCATACACTATTATATATACCAACACGCTATGTCATACACTATTATACATACCAACACGCTATGTCATACACTATTATATATACCAACACGCTATGTCATACACCATTATATATACCAACACGCTATGTCATACACTATTATATATACCAACACGCTATGTCATATACCATCATATATACCAACACACTATGTCATACACCATTATATATACCAACACGCTATGTCATACACCATTATATACACCAACACGCTATGTCATATACCATCATATATACCAACACACTATGTCATACACCATTATATATACCAACACGCTATGTCATACACCATTATATATACCAACACGCTATGTCATATACCATTATATATACCAACACACTATGTCATACACCATTATACATACATACAAGCTGTGTCATACACCATTATACATACCAACACGCTATGTCGTACACCATTATAATTATATACCAACCTCCATGTCATACACCATCATTAAGATACAAATAAGTTGTCATACACTAGGTACACCATATATAATAAAGACCAACAAGCCACGTAGGTACACCGTTATATCTGTCCACCCATCCATCCATTCATTCATCCCTCCTTCCCTACATCTGTCCATCTGTTCCTTCTTCTGTCTGTCCTTTCCTCCCACTGTCTGTCCATCTGTCAGCCTATTCCTCCACCCACCCCTCTGTCCATCCATTCCTCTGTCCATCCCTCCTTTTGTCCATCACTCCTTCTGACCATCCATTCCTCTGACCATCCATTCCTCCATCCATCCCAACATCCATCCATTCCTCCATCCCTCCCACTGTCCATCCCTCCTTCTGTCCATCACTCCTTCTGCCCATCTATTCCTCTGACCATCCATTCCTCCATCCATTCCTCTGACTATCCATTCCTCCATCCATCCCAACATCCATCCATTCCTCCATCCATCCCTCCCACTGTCCATCCCTCCTTCTGTCCATCACTCCTTCTGCCCATCTATTCCTCTGACCATCCATTCCTCCATCCATTCCTCCATCCATCCCTCCCACTGTCCATCCCTCCTTCTGTCCATCTATTCTTCTGACCATCCATTCCTCCATCCATCCCTCCCACTGTCCATCCCTCCTTCTGTCCATCACTCCTTCTGCCCATATATTCCTCTGACCATCCATTCCTCCATCCATTCCTCTGACCATCCATCCCTCCCACTGTCCATCCCTCCTTCTGTCCATCTATTCCTCTGACCATCCATTCCTCCATCCATCCCTCTGTCTATCCATCCCTCTCTCCCCATTCCTCCATCTACTTTTCTGCACTCCCTCCTGTTTCAACTGTCAATTTGTTCTTCCTTCTCTTCCTTTTGTCCATCCGTCTGTTCCTTCATCCATCCTTTCATCCCTATGTCTGTCTGCCAGAACATTTCCATTCCTGAGCAGAATTAAAACCTCTTCATTATTCCAGCACGGAAGTGTGCTTATATTTCAGCGAGGTAGTGAACTTGTGCCTTTTAACATGATTCAAGAATAATGAATCATTTGAATCATTTTGCATTTCATCGTAAAAGTTGCTTTGTTTCTCCAAATCAGTTCTCTTTTTCTTCATAAAACTTTGCATCTATATCAATAAGTCCCTCGAGTTGTGGGTTTTACAATTCAACCAAAACAGAGAAAGAGTGCCTTCCTACTTCTAATCAAACATAACAAACTTGTCATTTTACATATACATATCTTACATTATTTTCTCTTGTGTTCACAGCATGGAGCGATAGCGTTCTTGTACCACAAGTGTGCTGACCCTGTGGAAGTGAACAAAACTCGCCAGATGCTGGTCAACTGTCTGAGGAAACATATCATCACTCCGTATGCTCTCCCAGAGGACAAGGTAGGTGTCTCCAGGAACAGAGGTAATCACTCTGTACCCACTCAGTGAGATCAGTTGAACGTAACACCAGGGCCAACGTGCACAAAGCGATCTTAGCGCTAAGATGATCGTAACTCCCATACTTTAACATAGGCTTACGATAGTCTTAGCGCTAAGATCATTTTGTGCAAGTGGGCCCAGGTGTCTTAGCACTACATATCCCTCGGACCGCCTCTGTGGTCCAGTGGTAGAGCGTCCGCCTGGAGACCGAGGGTCCAGGGTTCGATCCTCGGCCACGTCATACCAAAAAACGTTAAAAGATGGTACTTGTTGTTACCCTGTCTGGCCTTCGGCATGAAGGGGCAAAAACCAGGACTGGTTGGCTTGGAGTCAGTATGCTGTGTCTGAGTGGGGTATTCATGTTAAAACTGCTGCATGGTATCTCAGTGGGCTGGGTCCAGCATTAGTCCGGACGAGTACAAACAGCCACACACCCACACATATGCATGTGTAAGCAAGGATTATATCCTACCTAAATATTATCCTGGGGGAAGTTTTTCTCTAGAGTATAGTATCCTACCTTAGTGCCTCACTGGTATGGGTTCAAATTCATTTAGGAGAATCATCCTAACACTAGAGAATTTCATCCCCGGGATAAAAAATGGGGTAGGTATAGACTCTTACACATGCACGTCGCTGTATAAGTGCAGTAATCTTGGATGCGACGTTAAATTCAATTTCACCTCACCTCACCTCACCTCACCTCACCTCACCTCACCTCACCTCACCTCACCTCACCTCACCCCATCTCACCTATCCCTGAGTGCAAGGGACATAACTCTATCTGGGTTCCTGTCACTCTGTATCACCTCCCTTTGTTTGTTGTTTAACGCCGCACTCAGCAATATTCCAGCTATATGACGGCGGTCAGTAAATAATCGAGTCTGGACCTGCCAGTGTTTGTTTGTTTGTTGTTTAACGCCGCACTCAGCAATATTCCAGCTATATGACAGCGGTCAGTAAATAATCGAGTCTGGACCTGCCAGTGTTTGTTTGTTTGTTGTTTAACGCCGCACTCAGCAATATTCCAGCTATATGACGGCGGTCAGTAAATAATCGAGTCTGGACCTGCCAGTGTTTGTTTGTTTGTTGTTTAACGCCGCACTCAGCAATATTCCAGCTATATGACGGCGGTCAGTAAATAATCGAGTCTGGACCTGCCAGTGTTTGTTTGTGTGTTGTTTAATGCCTCACTCAGCAATATTCCAGCTATATGACAGCGGTGTGACGGCAAGATATCGTAGGTTTTCACACACAGTTACACGTCAATACCTGTCGCCCTCCCGCCCTGAGAGGTGGACATGACGTGTTTGTTTGTTTGTTGTTTAACGCAGCACTCAGCAATATTCCAGCTATATGACATCAGTCCGTAAATAATCAAGTCTGGACAAGACAATCCAGTGTTTGACATTATTAGCATCGATCACAATTTTTTAAAAGCAATCATAGGAAAAATACAAACACATTCAAATTACCGTATTTTCTTGAGTATAGTGCGCACTTTTTTTCGAAAAAACACAGCTGTGTAGAAAGGGGTGCGCATTATACACGAATTATGAGTTTGGATGTTTTTTTCCCCCATGGAAAGACATTACTGTGAGCACGAAACACCGGGATACCATGTCAATAAATCCATACTGAAGTACGCAAAATAATCATGTAATTACACTGTCTGGCTATAAAAAGTGTTCTTTTTATATCTTGACTTATGTTTGTAACTTACTTCTTTAATCTTATTCAAAATTCCTTATAATATTATTTTTATTAATTTCGGCGAAATCGTGTGTGAAGCGGTCGGAAGATCGCACAACTCACCGTTATTAACAGCAGCCACGGTCAGAATACCGCTATTGACGCCTTGAAACGAACTTTAGTTGACAGAGAATGGATACATATATCATAAATGACATACTTTGACTCGTTAAAAGTCATATTTGTTTTTGTTTGACGATTCTATGTCAACATGAAATTCTCGGTATATGTTTGTTCAAGCAAAAATGACATTTTGAATGTTTCAGCCCTTTGCTCTGCTATCCTGGGGCTGTATTCTCCCAATGACTCACTTTGATGAAACCACGGTCTTCAGATTCATCAGGGTAAGATTTATAGGTTATGTTCTCCTATCCTGGGGCTGTATTCTCCCAATGACTCACTTTGATGAAACCACGGTCTTCAGATTCATCAGGGTAAGATTTATAGGTTATGTTCTCCTATCCTGGGGCTGTATTCTCCCATTGACTCACTTCGATGAAACCACGGTCTTCAGATTCATCAGGGTAAGATTTGTAGGTTATGTTCTCCTATCCTGGGGCTGTATTCTCCCAATGACTCACTTTGATGAAACCACGGTCTTCAGATTCATCAGGGTAAGATTTATAGGTTATGTTCTCCTATCCTGGGGCTGTATTCTCCCAATGACTCACTTTGATGAAACCACGGTCTTCAGATTCATCAGGGTAAGATTTGTAGGATATGTTCTCCTATCCTGGGGCTGTATTCTCCCAATGACTCACTTTGATGAAACCACGGTCTTCAGATTCATCAGGGTAAGATTTGTAGGATATGTTCTCCTATCCTGGGGCTGTATTCTCCCAATGACTCACTTTGATGAAACCACGGTCTTCAGATTCATCAGGGTAAGATTTGTAGGATATGTTCTCCTATCCTGGGGCTGTATTCTCCCAATGACTCACTTTGATGAAACCACGGTCTTCAGATTCATCAGGGTAAGATTTGTAGGATATGTTCTCCTATCCTGGGGCTGTATTCTCCCAATGACTCACTTTGATGAAACCACGGTCTTCGGATTCATCAGGGTAAGATTTATAGGTTATGTTCTCCTATCCTGGGGCTGTATTCTCCCAATGACTCACTTTGATGAAACCATGGTCTTCAGATTCATCAGGGTAAGATTTGTAGGATATGTTCTCCTATCCTGGGGCTGTATTCTCCCAATGACTCACTTTGATGAAACCACGGTCTTCAGATTCATCAGGGTATGATTTGTAGGATATGTTCTCCTATCCTGGGGCTGTATTCTCCCAATGACTCACTTTGATGAAACCATGGTCTTCAGATTCATCAGGGTAAGATTTATAGGATATGTTGTCCTATCCTGGGGCTGTATTCTCCCATTGACTCACTTCGATGAAACCACGGTCTTCAGATTCATCAGGGTAAGATTTGTAGGTTATGTTCTCCTATCCTGGGGCTGTATTCTCCCAATGACTCACTTTGATGAAACCACGGTCTTCAGATTCATCAGGGTAAGATTTATAGGTTATGTTCTCCTATCCTGGGGCTGTATTCTCCCAATGACTCACTTTGATGAAACCACGGTCTTCAGATTCATCAGGGTAAGATTTGTAGGATATGTTCTCCTATCCTGGGGCTGTATTCTCCCAATGACTCACTTTGATGAAACCACGGTCTTCAGATTCATCAGGGTAAGATTTGTAGGATATGTTCTCCTATCCTGGGGCTGTATTCTCCCATTGACTCACTTCGATGAAACCACGGTCTTCAGATTCATCAGGGTAAGATTTGTAGGATATGTTCTCCTATCCTGGGGCTGTATTCTCCCAATGACTCACTTAGATGAAACCACGGTCTTCAGATTCATCAGGGTAAGATTTGTAGGATATGTTCTCCTATCCTGGGGCTGTATTCTCCCAATGACTCACTTTGATGAAACCACGGTCTTCAGATTCATCAGGGTAAGATTTGTAGGATATGTTCTCCTATCCTGGGGCTGTATTCTCCCAATGACTCACTTTGATGAAACCACGGTCTTCGGATTCATCAGGGTAAGATTTATAGGTTATGTTCTCCTATCCTGGGGCTGTATTCTCCCAATGACTCACTTTGATGAAACCATGGTCTTCAGATTCATCAGGGTAAGATTTATAGGATATGTTCTATCCTGGGGCTGTATTCTCCCAATGACTCACTTTGATGAAACCACGGTCTTCAGATTCATCAGGGTAAGATTTATAGGATATGTTCTCCTATCCTGGGGCTGTATTCTCCCAATGACTCACTTTGATGAAACCACGGTCTTCAGATTCATCAGGGTAAGATTTATAGGTTATGTTCTCCTCAGAAACCGCTGGTTCAATCAAGGTGACATATAGCATGTATGTGTCAATGATCAGTTCCACATGCTATTAGTTCCATCCAGGACAAACACAGTGTAAATGTATCTTGGCCAATGAAATTAAGCACATGCATGTGGAACACATTTTCCATGATTTGAAGAAATCAACTTACAGATTTAAGGTCCAGACAGTTTCATTTATAACAGGGTTCAGGTTAGGGAACGTTTTTCGCGAGGAAATTTATACTTGATCTAAAACACGTAGAGATATGTTGGGGGAAAAACATTTCCTGATACCGTATTCGACGTAATAAGCGCCCAGGGCGCTCTCAAAATTAGTAATAGGGGGCTCTTATTAGAATATTATTTTGTCGAAAAAACAGAGTTGAAAGATAAATGTCGTGATTTTTGCTGACAGCCTGACATGTTTATATAGGAGAGATATATTATTCCAGAATTTAATTGCCCATACTTAAGGGTGCATATAACACACGAGTGCATATTATCAGCGAATAAATAAGTATGGTGTACATTGATCAATCGGAAAGGGTGCTAATTGGGATTGTTCACGAGCCAATATATGAGCAAATATCGCCGTGGGCGCTTATTAGAGCGGGGCGCTTATTACGTCGAATACGGTATTATAAACACTGTTCCATAGGAATAATTCCCCTAGAGAAAATGGTAATAAGGAATATATTTACTACAGGAACAGATGTAAGAGTGAATATTATCCTACCCTATTTTTTATCCCGGGGATTGAATTCTCTAGTGTCAGGATGATTCTGCCTAGTTTGAACCCATACCAGTGTGGCACTAAGGTAGGATACTATACTCTCGAGTAAATTCTTCCCCCGGGAAGCAAGTTTATACTTTTGTTTCTGCCATCATAGTGAATTTTGAAAAGGTTTACGACTGACCAGATTTCCCTGATGAATTTAACTTTTAAATGTCTATCAATGACTGCATAATGCCAGTAGTGTTCATGATCATGACCCTAAGATTCATCCTTTAAAATTTCTTTGACATTTGACAAAGGTCAAGGTCATTATCAAGGTTATTGGGAAAACTGGTTGTATCATCAATGGCCAGATACTTATGCACCCGCTTGACTGCATTCAGTACATTTCAGATTGAGTAACCATTGGTCCAGGTAGTCCTGTGGGTACCCGGTCCTACTCAATACCCACCCGACCCAAGAACCTGAGTTACGCGTCCCAGCCCTAGTCAGCACCCTCTTTATTATTATTTACAGCAACATGGAATGCATGGTAGAGAGAACAGTGTCACGCTGGATGGCCAGTACTCGAAGCTGCTGACTGTGCCAGCCAAAGTGGTCTCTACCTATGAGGATGTGGATATATGTCCATCTGTGAGTTCAACACATGTCATTAGTTTATAGTGTCTGTATGGAAAATCTAAGCTTTACTAATGAGAATGGGGGCACGGGTGGCCCAGTCGTCTAAGGCGCCGCGATTCGCTGTGCAGAGTTGGGTCCCTTGGGCACGCCAGAAACCTATGATTGTGGGTTCGAATTCCGGTTCGCCCCGATTATGTTTCTAGGTTTGTCAGCACGCTACCCGTGCTCGTGGATTTCACCGAAGTGGTAAAGGTCTGAGACCTGCATCGCTTCGGGCTTTCCTCCCACATTAAGCTGACACGCCGTGATATAACTGGAATATTGTTAAAAGCGGCATTAAACCCAACCCACTCACTCACTCACTACTAATGAGAACACAGCAATGCCTTCAACCAGTATGAACAGGAAACTTGCTGCAGGCAAAGAAAACTTAAACCTCCTGACAGACAAGTTGTAATTAACAAACATGTTGTATGTATTCATTCTGATCACTCTTCACTACCCTACACCCGTGAAGATCCGGGGTAGAATAGGTCTTCAGCAATGCTTCTGGTTAAAGGCGACTATGCTTGTCGTAAGAGGCGACCAACGGGATCGGGTTGTCAGCCTCCCTGACTTGGTTGATGCATGTCATCGTATCCGAATTGCATGGATCGATGCTCATGATGTCAATCACTGGATTGTCTGGTCCAGACTCGATTATTTACAAACCGCCATCATATAGCTGGAATATTGCTGTGTGCGGCATTAAACAACAAACAAACAAAACAAAACAAAATTTAATTTTTTAATCATGGCTTGCTTTTCGTCCTTAAGTTTCTTGTTTTGTAGGGGTGGTGGGGTAGTCTAGTGGTTAAAGCGTTTGCTCGTAACGCCGAAGGCACGGTTTTGATTCCCCACATAGGTACAATGTGTGAAGCCCATTTCTGGTGTCCCCTGCCGTGATATTGCTGGAATATTGCTAAAAGCGGCGTAAAACCATACTCACTCACTCAGTCTTGTTTGTATCAACTTGTTGTTTGGTTCGGATTCTGTTTTCCCCTTTATTTGCTTGTTTGAATGTGAAATAAATGCGACAAAACCATTTCCATAGTCATAAGGAAACTCTGCCAAGTTCAAAACCTGTTGTCCAATTCCAACAACTTCATAGTTATGTCTTTATGAATCACTACCAATTAGAGATGATAACAGGTGAGCGTAACCTGCCTCACTGGTGTTTTGTCAAAAACACATGCAAAGGCAAGTCAATTGTTTACCTGACAAAGCACAATCACATTTGCAATATCTAATGATATGTATCACAGCCAGTGTGTATTCCTATAAATTGCAATACGGTTTATATGGTAATAATAATCTATAAAACTTTGCAAATCAAACATATTTCTCAACTTTTTTCTTTCAACAGAATCTCTGCACTTGCACCCAGCAGATATAATTCAAAATGAACATATCGTTTTTAGTTTCAACAAAATTGGATTGACTGGATTTGTGATCCATCACCTGCTTGTCTGGTTTGTTTACAGGCTGTGTCGCTGTGCTGTGCAGTATCAAGCAACAAACACTTCATTTTTTATGCAAATTGTGTGAATGGCGGGTGCTGCCAGTAGGGCAGGACAAGTTACTTTGTTTGTGAACACCTGGTGTCATAACTGATTTTCAGTGGTCCATTCATATAGTTTTCACCGCTATGGAATCGTTTTTGGCAAATAGTCAAGACTGGTTATTTTTGGCATGGACATTTTATGTTATATTATATTTCAGTCCAACTTTCCGGAGCTGCGTTATGTCGCTGCAGTGGGGCATGCCACGAAGAAACAGATGCTTGGTCTCAGGGAAACAAAACTGCCGTTGTCAGCGAAGCAGAGGAGGATCCAACGTCACAGAAATGCCAGCTTGGCAGAGAACGCCCACAAGTCACAACGACACAAAAAGGCATCAATGCTGAGCACAGAAGCGAAGAGGAAAGCGAAACGATCTACAGACTTTGTCGCATCGGAGCAGAAATTGGCAGAAGGTGACTCTTCAAACAACAAGAGAATGATGGAAAAGCGAGAAGCTGGTTGGCTGAGAGAAGAGCCAAGTCAGGTTGAAAACGAGGCTCGGTTGTTGGAAGGAGATGAAAGAGAGGCTGAAGTGGCACGTCTGGAAAGAGGCCTTGATAAAGTCAAGAGACTGTTCCGTTCAAATGTAAAGCCATTCTTAAATAACTGAAACTAGCCCAAACATACATGTGTGGGAAAAAAAGTATTTTATGCGCAGTGAATGCTGCGCTATACAAATGCATAAATTATTATTATTATTATTATGGTTAGGTGGTGGTTTAACATCTTACAGGGAGAACAAAGTAGGGATCTAAGGTGTCACAAAGTAGGGATCTAAGGTGTCGCAAAGTAGGGATCTAAGTTGTCACAAAGTAGGAATTTAAGGTGTTGCAAAGTAGGGATCGAATTACAATGATGATGGAAAAGTCACACTTGCACTTTATTCAGTTTGTACAAAATTGTTTCCTTCACATGATACTGGTAAACATCATTGCAACAGTGTACATGATAACTTAACTGCACTGCTTGCTGGGTAGATACTATTGAATTGTTACAAATGAAATTATCATAATACTTAACAATGGAATAAAGCTTTCCTGAATTATTTTATTAGCTCATTGTATGTTTTAAAATTTACAAATATTGACTTTTTATGATGTCAATACTTAGAGGTTATTATATGGCAGTTTTCATATCAAGCCAAATATCAATCCTTGATCCCCCTATCAATCCTTGACCCTCATATCAATCCTTGACCCCCTATCAATCCTTGACCCCCCTATCAATCCTTGACCCTCATATCAACCTGAAAGCCCCATATCAGCCTGACACCCCCATATCAACCCGAGACCCCCATATCAGCCTGACACCCCCATATCAACCTGAGACCCCCATATCAGCCTGACACCCCCATATCAACCTGAGACCCCCATATCAGCCTGACACCCCCATATCAATCCCTGACACCCCCATATGAACCTGCGACCCTCATATCATCCTGAGACCCCCATATTAGCCTGAGACCCCCATATCAACCTGAGACCCCCATATCAGCCTGAGACCCCCATAAAAGCCCGAGACCCCCATAATCAACCTGAGAGCCCCATGTCAGCCTGACACCCCATATCATCCTGACACCCCAATACCAGCCTGACACCCTCAAATGAACCTGAGACCCTCATATCATCCTGAGACCCCCATATCAACCTGAGACCCCCATATCATCCTGACACCCCAATACCAGCCTGACACCCTCAAATGAACCTGAGACCCTCATATCATCCTGAGACCCCCATATCAACCTGAGACCCCCATATCAACCTGAGACCCTCATAACATCCTGACACCCCCATATCAGCCTGCGACCCCCATATCAACCTGAGACCCCCAAATGAACCTGAGACCCTGATATCATCCTGACACCCCCATATCAACCTGAGACCCCCATATCAGCCTGAGACCCCCAAATGAACCTGATACCCTTATATCAGCCTGACACCCCCATATCAACCTGAGATCCCCATATAATCCTGAGACCCCCATATGAACCTGAGACCCCCATATGAACCTGAGACCCTCATATCAGCCCAACCCCCATATCAATCCCTGACCCTTATATCAGCCTGACACCCCCATATCAACCTGAGACCCCCATATCAACCTGAGACCCCCATATCAACCTGAGACCCCCGTATCAATCCCTGACCCAATCCCCACATCCAGTGATTGACATCATGAGCATCGATCTACACAATTGGGACACGATGACATGCATCAACCAAGTCAGCAAGTCTGACCACCCGATCCTGTTAGTAGCCTCTTACACCAAGCATGGGTTGGTGAAGACCCATTCTAATCCGGATCTTCATGAAACAACAGGGGCTGAAGCTATCAAGGTTGATATGGGAGTCAAGGGTTGATTTGAAACTGTCCTACAATAACCTTTTTATCATATATAATAACATCAACATGTAAAATGTGTATATTTGCAAGTGGGTGCAATTATACATTTTCACCTTGTTTTGGAAGCCACTCAAAGGGATGTAACTCCAATCTCTTACAACTCACTCATTCAAAGTGCACTGACAAGCCGTAACAGCCTAGCAGGGGTATGGATTTCACACCCCAGTGGTAGGTGAGGTGACGTGAGGTGAGGCGAGGTGAGGTGAAATGGGGTTTAACGTCGCGTTCAAGATTATTGCACTTATATAGCAACGTGCATGCACGTGTGAGTGTGTGGTTGCTTGTACTTGTCCGGACTGATGCCGATTTATAGTGCTAGCACACTGAGATACCATCCCGCAGTGTTACAGTATACTGACTCCGAGCTGACCAGTCCTTGTTTTAGCTCCTTAATGCCGAGCACAAGACAGGGTAACAACAAGTACCATCTTTTGGTATGACGCAGCTGGGGATCGAACCCCAGACCTTCCGCTCTCCTTGTGGACGCTCTACCACTAGACAACGGAGGCGGTCCCCCAGTGGTACAGTCATATATGGTCAGTGGTAGAAATATATATGTAAACAATAAACAGTGTGTCTGTCTGTATCTGTTAAAGTGGGTGATATAAAATACAGCATTGTTTCAGCCATATCGCAACAAAACACAGACTGAGTGAGTGATTTAAATACAACATTGCTTTAACCATTTAGGGACAAGACAGTGAGTTAAAATACAATATTGCACTGCGGGGTGGGTAATAATTCGAACCCCATTATCTCCGGTTGTTTCCAACTCCTTATCTTACCTTACATTAAAATACCAGCTTCTGACTGGTTAAGTGAGTGAGTGAGTTTGGTTTAACGCCCCTTTTAACAGTATTCCTGTTCTATCGCAGCGTGTCAGCTTAATGTGGGAGGAAAGCCCGAAGTGATGCAGGTCTCAGACGTTTACCACTTCGGTATAGTGTTTGTACCATAAGGATGTCATGCAGTGTTTATTCAATACTGATTGTTGCATATTGTTCAACCCATGAGCACGGGTATGGTGCTGACAAACCTAGAAACATAATCGGGGCGAACCGGGATTCGAACCCACAATCATAGGTTTCTGGCGTGCCCAAGGGACGCAACTCTGCACAGCGAATCGCGGCGCCTTAGACGACTGGGCCACCCGTGCCCCCTCTGACTGGTTAAGGAACAGGCAATTTCTTTTCATGTAGCCGCTTGTGTCTTACCATTAGTCTGATGTCCCATCAGTCAGACAATTTCATAACTTAATACACCTAACTATACTTCATAAACAAAGTAACTGTGGTTACCATATAAAGTGATGTCAATGTTCTGTTATTAAAAATAACGTAATATTTGGTCATTCGTATGATCGGTGTTTTATCATAACAAATTCATCGACAAGACACATACATGATAACAGGAGACAGAGCGACACCCTAAAAGAGGGGTGGTTAACAAGTGTCGGGGGTGACCACCGTTTTCGCTGATAAAGGCTAGACAGCGTATTGAAGACAACAGGCTGGAGTATGTTGTTCCTGATGTCAACCAAAGATTGCCCAACCGAGCTAACTAGTTCTGGTCCTGTCGTAGACGTCACTCCATCTCATTCCAGACTTGTTTAATGGGGGAGAGGTCTGGAGAAACAGCCGTCCATGGCAGTACAGAAATGTTATGCTGCCTCAAACAGTCTGTTACAGTGAGTGAATGAGTATGGTTTTACGCCGCTTTTAGCAATATTCCAGCAATATCACGGCGGGGGAAACAAGAAATGAGCTACACATATTGTACCCATGTCGGGAATCGAACCCGGGTCTTTGGCGTGACGAGCGAACGCTTTAACCACTAGTCTACCCGACCGCCCTAGTCTGTTACAACACGTGCAACATGTCAGACAGACGTTATCCTGCTGCAACGTGAAGCTACGTCCCTGCATTTGCACAGGGTGCTGGTAACATGATTTCGAATGATGTTGGTTGGTTGGGTGTTGTTTTACGCCACAGTCCAGCAATATTCCAGCTATATGACGGCGGTCTGTAAATAATCGAAAAATTCCAGTGATTAATATCATGAGCATCGATCCACGCAATTGGAATCGATGACATGCTTCCCATACAAGAAAGTTTGCTGAGTTCGGCGTTAAACACCAAACAAACAACAAAACACTTCCACCCCTGAACTGACGACGTTAGGCAACGCAAGCGTCGCTAAAACGTCTTCCTGGACGCATGTAGACCCATGCTGTTGAAACATGGATTCATTTGTGAACAGTAAACTGTCCCAGTCTTGTCGATGCTGTCGTAAAGCTGGGCGTACCTGGCGGTGAAGTGGAAGCAAAATTAGGCTTTGAGTTCCCTGAACTGGTTCTGCCACTAAGTGGTCTCAACCCAGGTAGTGTCCGAGATGTTATTGTGGCAGTTTCGTATCAATTCCGTAGATGCACCAACCGAATATTGCTGTCTTGTTGACGTGACGTTACACATGGACATCCGGGCCATGGCAACTGAACAGTGTTTAGGCTGTTCGCGGGTTGAGTGAGATTGTATGAGTGTTTCACACACAACCGTTGTGACTGAAATTATAGGTGAGGTGAAATGGGGTTTAACGTCGCGTCCAAGATTATTGCACTTATATAGCGACGTGCATGCACGTGTGTTTGTGTGTTTGGTGGCTTGTACCAGGCCGGACTGATGCCGATTTATAGTGCTCGCACACTGAGATACCATGCCGCAGTTTTACAGTATACTGACTCCGAGCGGACCAGTCGTTGTTTTAGCCCCTTAATGCCGAACGCCAGACAGGGTTACAACAAGTACCATCTTTTAACGTCTTTTGGTATGACGCGGCCGGAGATCGAACCTCGGACCTTCCGCTCTCCGGGCGGACGCCCTACCACTAGACCACGGAGGCATTCCTGAAATTATAGGATGGCTTCAAACACACCCTCCTATAAGTCGAAAGTTAAAGTTATTTCAATTATAGCGGTAGATACATTGTTGTCCCTAAAGATGAATGTGTCCCTTAAATCATTCCATATATGATCAATCCTTGTTCGGAGTAGCCGAGAGCCGCGCCAGGGTCCTACAGTCAAGACATGACCCGATATCGTGATGTTCGGAGAGGCTCTGAAAAAAGAAAATATTATCTATAATGTTCTGTGGATTCTAGAATGGACATTGTCGCGTTGGTTAATTTTGGCACTTTTCGACAACGCAACAATGTCCATTGGAGGATTCCATATAATTCCAACATCATTTCGGATTTGTCTGTTTGAGATGATACATTTCAACATATACATTATCATGTAAAGGCTTGTGTTAGGGATACGATAAACAAGCTTGATACATGCGATGCAATGTTTTCTTTCTCGATACACCATAGACTGACCTTCACAATATGTTCAATCTCTTTAAAATCAGATAGAGTGAGTAAGCGAGTTGGGTTTAACGCCGCTTTTAACAGTATTCCAGTTATATTACGGGGTGTCAGCTTAATGTGGGGGGAAAGCCCGAAGTGATGCAGGCCTCAGACGTTTACCACTTTGGCGAAACCCACGAGCACGGGTATGGTGCTGACAAACCTAGTAACATAATCGGGGCGAACCCACGATCATAGGTTTCTGGTGTGCCCAAGGGACGTAACTCTGCAAAGCGACTCGCGGCGCCTTAGATGACTGGGCGACCTGTGCCCCCAGATAGAGAGAACGAAGATCTGATTTTAGTGAGATTGCAGTAGTTTCACACAAACATTGCTGCAAGTGAACACACAATGCCTTTTAGAAGGGGCGGTCGGGTAGCCTAGTGGTTAAAACGTTCGCTCGTCACGCCGTAGACCCGGGTTTGATTCCCGACATGGGTACAATGTGTGAAGCCCATTTCTTGTTTCCCCCGCCGTGATATTGCTGGAATGTTGCTAAAAGCGGTGTAACTGGATTTTTAAAGTCAGTTAACTCCCTTGCCTCGGGAAGATGTGGGTCTGCCCGTTCTTGGTCTGTCTGATGTCTGCCTGGTCTTGTGTGTAACGTTGCATCAATTTAGTTACAGCAATACTGGAGCAACCAAACCTTCTAGCAATGTGGGCATGGGTGGCTCCCATCTGTGTCATAACCAGGGCCAGCTCCACTGTTCGGGTGTCAGTCGTGGCATGTCTGTGGTGTGTGTTTTGTATCGGTGTGAGTGTCTTACATGCCGTCCGTATCATTAATATACACTCATTGAACCTGTTGTTTTGGCTGTCCAAGCGGCACGTGTTTTTCACTTTTTCGACTTTTCTACAAAAAAATAACCTGCCATGGACGTGTGGCACTTTCTGCATAGAGCACTGTTGTGTTTGGAAGATGTGTTTTGCATTGATTTAGTTAGAATTTTTGCATTGATTTAGTTAGATTTTTGGGTTTTTTTTGCAATTTCATTTCTAAAGTGGTAAGGGGGCACAGGTGGCACAGTCGTGTAAGGCGCCGCGATTCGCTGTGCAGAGTTGCGTCCCTTGGGCACGTCAGAAACCTATGATTGTGGGTTCGAATCCCGGTTCGCCCCAATTATGTTTCTAGGTTTGTCAACACCATACCCGTGCTCGTGGGTTTCACCGAAGTGTTAAACGTCTGAGACCTGCATCACTTCGGGCTTTCCTCCATCATTAAGCTGACATGCCGTGATATAACTGGAATACTGTTAAAAGCGGTGTTAAACCCAACTCACTCACTCACTCTAAAGTGGTCAAGTTTTTTTAAACCACTCACCCCAACCCCATTACCTGGCAGCTTAAACTCATTCCATCTTTCAGGGCGGGTGATATTTTTAAAACACATTCCAGTATAGAGATAATAATTACAACAGCCATGCTGTTTTTTTCTGTTCAAATATATCGTACAATTTGATGACAGTCAAAGGTCGATTGATGGACCACTTGTACCCTCTGGTGATCATCAAGACCGACATGCACTGACACAGAGGTTACTGGGTTGAAGTAAATATCCACTTGACTGGGTCAATCTGACCCCGTTGAGACATGGCAAATGGTCATATGAAAAGATCGGGTGTTTTATAACTTTTTTGGAGTGAGTGAGTGAGTGAGTGAGTGAGTGAGTGAGTGAGTGAATGAGTGGGTGGGTGGGCGAGCGAGCGAGTGAGTGAATGAGTGGGTGGGTGGGCGAGCGAGCGAGTAAGTGAGTGAGTGAGTGAGTGGATGGGCGAGCGAGTGAGTGAGTGAGTGAGTGAGTGAGTGAGTGAGTGAGTGAACTTTACTTGTAACAGTATTTCAGCTATGTCACGATGTGTCAGCTTACTGTGGGAGGAGAGCCTGAAGTGATGCAGGTCACAGACGTTTACCACTTTGGTGAAACGGGTAAGGTGCCGATAAACCTGGTCAGCCACGCTAGCTAGATACACGTTTTACAAGCGCCTTTTATATTTACAAGCCAATGGTTGCTTTTTAAACTAGCAAATACAAGGGGAAATCGGGTTGGAGAAATAGAACATATATTTCAACAAGGTTAGGTCAATCTGAATCAATATCAAACAGATTTCTGACACTTGCCTAACCAGTGACATGCGACCAGCACGACACAAATCTAACTACAGGCATTTTTTGGCAGGAAGTTCCCTTTTCGAAGGTTCATATTTGACATCTGAATAACAATGTATATAGATGTCAGTCGGGCTACCTTGATTTGATTTTCACTAGCCTGAAGAAAATTAAGTAGCGGGCAAGCGCTTATTTCGCACATTGTACACGTTCGACCCGCTTGTATCAAACTTAATGGTTCATTAAACCCTGATGGTTAATTAAATTATTAATGTTTAATTAGTTAATGGCGGCATGTACAAGGCTTGTAAAAAGCTGCTATTCAACTAACATAATAGAATATCATAAGTGTGATGTTTCCTTAAACGTGCAATAAGGGTATTTCCCACGATTCCTTCCTAGCCTTTCGTGTCATCTGCCAAAGATAGTAGTTCTCTCGACTCTAAGGGATACGGGTGGCCCAGTGGTCTAAGGAGACGGAATTCGCTTTGCAGCCCGAACCTTAGATCGAGGGTTCGAATCCCGGTTTGCCCAGGTTGTGTCTAGGTTTGTCAACGGGTTTCAACAAAATTGTAAACATCTAAGGCCTAAATCATCCCCCCCCCCCCCCCCCTAGCTGACATGCCTATGCATTATACTTGGGTGCGCACTATACTCAAGAAAATACCATAACTGGAATACTGTTTGTTCAAAGCGACCTTAAACCGAACTCATTCACTCTTGACTCGAAGGTTTATGTTAACATCGCGAGAACCACAGGGATGGATCCAGGATATGAGGTCAATGCTCCAGTACAGACGACCACTTTCTGCCGTGTTGTGAAGTCATATGACACAAGTCCACCTATGTCACAGACCATGCTCCAGTACAGACGACCACTTGCTGCCGTGTTGTGAAGTCATATGACACAAGTCCGCCCATGGCAAGGTCAATGCTCCAGTACAGATGACCACTTGCAGCCATTTTGTGAAGTCAGATGACACAAGTCCACCTATGTCACAGACCATGCCCCAGTACAGACAACCACTTGCTGCTGTGTTGTGAAGTCAGATGACACAAGTCCGCCCATGGCAAGGTCAATGCTCCAGTACAGATGACCACTTGCAGCCATTTTGTGAAGTCAGATGACACAAGTCCACCTATGTCACAGACCATGCCCCAGTACAGACAACCACTTGCTGCTGTGTTGTGAAGTCAGATGACACAAGTCCACCCATGGCGAGGTCAATGATGATGACCACTAGTTGCTGGATTGTCAAGTCAGATTAATGTCTGAGCACAGAGTGAAAAGGCTGATTGACTGCTATACTATGAGAATCTAGGGTACTGTTTGGAATATGTCTTGATTCCACATGTGGTCTTTGACTGTTATTAATTCATTCCAACCACATCAATGCCATGATCAATTAATGACCTTCCAACATAGGATCACTATGTAATTTATAACCCATAAAGATCTGGGTTAGAACTGGTCTTCAAGAACCCATGCTCATCGTAAGAGGCGACTAATGGGATCGGGTTGTCAGACTCGCTGACTTCGTTTATGCATGTCATCGTATCCCAATTGCGTAGATGATGCTCATGATGTCAATCACTGGACTGTCTTATCCAGATTTTATTATTTAAAGACTGCCATCATATAGCTGGAACATTGCTGAGTGCAGCGATAAACAAACAAACAAACAAAACAAACAAACAAACAAATAAACAAAATCTTCCAACATACAGATATGATCCATCTCCAACGAAACACAAAAACATGAAATTCTTCTTTCATTATTTATTTTCAAATCAACAGTCTCATCCTTTTTACAAAAGAAAACATTTATACATTTATGAAATATAGTAAATATCTATGTACATATCACAAAATATATATCAGGAAGCTACACCATGAACAGAAACATACATTACACGTTTCCATGGAAATACATCAATAATAAAACCACCATTACACAAACGACTATCATTCATTCAGGACACAATACAAGCTTTTAGTAGACACACACGAGTACACACACATCTATTCACAATTAACTGTACGTAACCATGGTGATACCTATTCAAATAGGATGTAACAAATACTTCGTTCAACTGGCACACTTCTTGACAGAACATATTCCCTAAATCAAATCATATCGGTACATCCAAAATCTCTACACAAAACACCAAAACTCTTTCAATTATCGTAAAAAATACCTTCTACAAGCAAAAAAGTTCCTTATCATGTCTGTCAACCACAGAAAGTGCTTACAAAACAGAAAATCATAACACACTTTTTTCCCACATTGAAAAAACAGTGATGGAGGTACCACACATACAGTCAATGCCTGAGTGATTTGGGTTTCACGCCACGTGGAATAGTCGTTTAGTTCCATCACGCTGTTAGCATGACGTTGGAGGATGGATGAAAATGACAGTTTACCACTGATATGAATCCGTATGGATATAATTCTGGATTCAAACCAATGACCAGTGGATCCTGCATGACTAAGGGATGCAACGCTGCACAGCCAAGTCCAGCATAGACCACTGGGCACTCAATTGTTTAAACTGACATAATATTTTGACGCGACCCAGGAACAAATTTGTACGTTAAGGGAGAGATGTTTCCAGTGTGTACCACTTAATGACAAAACTAATAATCAGTACTGAACATGACTTCCAAACTTTACACCTAATCCTGCACGAGACAAATGGTGCATCTCCAGTCATGGATCTATGATGTCACATGTGATGCGTTTGTGCATCTAACCAATCTAACACCTCTTGAATACAAGTAATTCTTCACATATTAACTAATATGGACAAAATAATGTACCCCTGAACAAGCAAAACATATTTCGGAAATGAAACTATGTGAAACTATAGTGATTTAGCAGCATAGATACTGGTGAAGAATGAAAGAAACACAATTTCAATCTGCAGCGAGTGAGTGGTCTCACTCCAGTATTTCAGTTATATCACGGCAACTGGGGGTGAAAGCTCTGAGCAGTGCAAGTCATGCATGTTTACAAATATTGAGACTCTCGGAAGCATGGGAAGGATTCTGACGCACCTAGGATCATATTGAGGGTGAATCAGATTCAATCCCGTGTCCAGCAGATCCTGAAATGGCTAAGGAGTAGTGCACGTCGTGCATGTCCACAAATATTGAGACTCTCGGAAGCATGGGAAGGATTCTGACGCACCTAGGATCATATTGAGGGTGAATCAGATTCAATCCAGTGTCCAGCAGATCCTGAAATGGCTAAGGAGTAGTGCACGTCGTGCATGTTTACAAATATTGAGACTCTCGGAAGCATGGGTAGGATTCTGACGCACCTAGGATCTTATTGAGGGTGAATCAGATTCAATCCAGTGTCTAGCAGATCCTGAAATGGCTAAGGAGTAGTGCACGTCGTGCATGTCCACAAATATTGAGACTCTTGGAAGCATGGGTAGGATTCTGATGCACCAAGCAACATATTAAGGGTGAATCAGGGATTCAAACCCACAACCAGAGAATCCTCAAATGACTAAGGGAGACAACTCTGAACACCAAATTCCGGTGTTAGACCTCTAGGCTACCATGGCCCTCACATTTATCGTCCTTGAACAAATCACTGTGTACTGACAATGTTGAACCACCTGTAGACACTTTTGGAACCACCACTTTATATTCTGGGGGAGGGCTAACCCTTTATGTAAGAGGCAGGATACTTGTTCTGTTACTGTTTCAAAACACACAATTGCATTTCTTTTTTTCAGAACACATTGTTTACACATCCTGAGTGTCCAGTGACCAATTTACAAGTTGGGGGTAAAACCTATGGACAAACTATTTTATCCAACAAATTATTTTTTCTAAAATAAATTGCAGGCCCCGCCTGAAATAGTCAGCCCCGAAGTATTTTGAGGATTACGCTAGTGCCACTCTTCCAAAACACAACACCTATAGCTAGCACTTAATTATCCTTATTTAGAAGCCCTGGTCATTTGACTATGGGAAATATATAGAGCCCTTAATCTTTGATTGATCATTTGTGGTAAAGATACCTTCAGGTCAGCTGTATGAAACTATTCTACATGGGTCATCATATTTTGACATAAGAAATACTCAAGCTCCTCTCAGCAATAGCCCTGTCACGGAGCTCTCTATACCATTGCTGCCCATTCGTCACCACTCGCCCCTTTCCGTAACCTGCAAGAAGACTCGTCCCCCTATCGATGAATGTGAACCATTACGCAACAAGTTGACAATTGTTTTAGGTATACCCGTTTGCGCTAAGACGGAACCCGAGCTCTCTATACCATTGCTGCCACCAGACTCCTCACAGCGATAGCCCTGTTGCGGAGCTCTCTACACTATCGCAGCCAGCAGTCACAGCTCCCAACTGTGCTAGGCACTTGGCAACCATGCATGGAGTTGAACTTGCAACAATCTAACTGATCGTTATGTTCACAAACTAGTGTTTACTGTCGCTGAATGCTCTTCCCTCAGCTAAACCTCTTCATTTGTTTGTCAATTTGGAATTTCATTTCAACTAACATGTAATTAGTACAGTGAAAATGTAAGGTGAAACAGGGTGTTTTCTGTTTGTCTGCAATTTCTAACCATTCCATTAAACAAACAAATGTAAATTCATCCGGGAAATAGTAAGATGTAAATTATTCCAATTCACCATAATGGCATTCCCAAAGACATACACACAAAAATATCACTACATTAGGGGGAACATTTTCAAGACTCTTGTAACGGCCGCTTGCACACTCGTGTAGCGATGTTACCAAGAAGGTAACGAAGGTATCACACGCTGGGAAGGAGCTTGAAGAAATACTGTTGGAAGGGAGATAACTCCTTATTTCCTGGCAGGAGACATACATCATAGCTATTTACCACATGCCTTGTAACAGGGGCAATGTCAGGAAGGCCACAGACACTCATTTAATGTCGACATTTGCAGCATATTGAGCAAGAGGTGTTCCTTATGTCTGTTTCCCAGCATCAGCTTCTTCAGGACTGCACGTCCCGACGGCTTCACCAAACTTGATTTTTTTACTGTTTTCAATCTTAAAGTCAAAGTCGTTCGGTGCCTCGAAGATTAGCACAATGGTTGAGCCAAGGTTGAACTCCCCAAACATCTCACCCTTGTTGAAAGAGATTGGATTGGAGAACGATTTGTCGAAGTAGGTACCGTGCGGCTGCTTCCGTGAATTGTTAGTCGTCAATTCCTGCAGAAAATATGAAAGAAGTCAAACAATAGTTATCATTGTTAATAATTATAAGAATACTACCTCTATTACCGTATTCGACCCAATAAGCGCCCAGGGCGCTTAAAATGGAGACCGAAGGAGTGGGCGCTTATTGGGTACAAATCAGAGTCAAATTGGCATAAATTCATCAGTAAACCTTACCGGTAAGTCACAAATATCTAAAATAAACAGAATACAGTCATGCCCCGCTAATACGGACTTCAACTATCCAGAAACCTCGGTTCCCGGACGATTTTCATTTTAAAAAAAAAGGGGGGGGGGGGGGGGCGCTTATTGGGACATGGGCGCTTATTAGGTCGAATATGGTACATCTTTGCCAAATTAATGTATTTTTAACAGAAGTCCTCTTCATTGTCAACTATACAATAATTAGTTGTACCTGTAATATCACCAAACAGCCCACAGAAATATTACTACAGTGGTGACTTGTCACTGGTGATTGCACAAATGAACCGATTTTACTAGGTTGCAAATTTGCCAAAAAAGTAAAACACATTCCGCTTACAATTTCATGACAACTGATGCCAGAAAAGCTGATCCATTCCATATCCTGTCTGAGTTCATTCCAATTCTAGACCAAAAACAGCAATGGATGTCTTGTCAGAAAAATGTTCCAAAGTTACCCTTGTTAGATGGATCCTACCCTGAGAAGCAATCCTGAGATCAACGCTTACCTCATCACAGATCTCAAACGAATCCCGAGATTAACGCTTACCTCATCACAGATCTCAAACAAATCCTGATATCAACGCTTACCTCATCACAGATCTCATCAAGCAAATCCCAAGATCAACACTTACCTCATCACAAATCTCATCAAACGAATCCCGAGATCAACACTTACCTCATCACAGATCTCATCAAACGAATCTTGATATCAACGCTTACCTCATCACAGATCTCATCAAATAAATCCCCAGATCAACACTTACCTCATCACGATAGATCTCATAAAATAAGGCCCGAGAACAATGCTTACCTCGTCACAGTAGATCTTGATGGAACCAACGTTGGTGGCGCCGACGGCCGTCATGGAGAAGAATCCATGCTCCCAGGTGCCGGAGTAAACGACTCGCTCGTTGAAGTTGAAGAGCCCCTGCACCCAGCGCGCCACCCCGGGGCTGACACTGAGCAACTCACCTGCACAAACAAGTCTTCATGTACACCTGTCACAGGTCACAGTACTCGTTCGTACTGCAGGACACACAATCATTTACGCTGCACTTTACAGAAATCAGATATGCAGAATGTCTTTTAAAGATTATTCTAATAATTGAAACAATTTAATAACAACACTTGGCTGGAACAGGTCTTAATACATCTCTTACATATTTCCTTACCAAGACAACAAAGTTTTAAAAATTAGAAGTTTGTTCAAGTCTTTGATCGGCTTTTAGAAGTTGGTTGAACATGAAACTTGTTATGGATAACAACTTCTTTATTCTTAACCTAGGATCTCCCCTTTCAGAACACCCTATCAACAACTGACCACTGTATTTCCTGCAAACAAACCAAGACTCTCCATCCCAACATGAATCAATGGATAAAAAGAGGAGTGAGTGGGTGAGTTGGGTTTAACGCCGTTTTTAACAATATTCCAATTATATCACGGCGTGTCTGCTTAATGTGGGAGGAAAGCCCGAAGTGATACAGGTCTCAGACGTTTACCACTCCGGTGAAACCCACGAGCACGGGTATGGTGCTGACAAACCTAGAAACATAATCGGAGCGAATTGGGATTCAAACCCATGACCTTAGACCTATCTTGTGTAAACTTACCAGCATGAATAAACATCATCTCAATAAGCTAATTCAGTATTCAATTGATGAAAGGGCACAAAGTTGCCCTGAAACGTCTTTACAAAGTTAGGAAGTGAGTGAGTTTAATTTTACGCCGCTTTTAGCAATATTCCAGCAATATCATGGCGGGGGACACCATAAAAGGACTTCACACATTGTACCCATGTCGAGAATCGAACCCAATTCTTCGGCATGACTAGCGAATACGTAGACCACTAGGCTACCCAACCGCCCCTCATTACAAAGAATAAAGAAGTTGTTATCCATAAAAAGTTTCATGTTTTCAAAGAAATCTGTTAATTTAGATCTGGATGGGAGATGTTTTTGTGAAAAAATCAGCCAAGTGATGTGTTCCTGTAAATCTGAAGAACATTTAAAATGGCCTTTCAGCGCTAACATATTCAAACATCTCCCCTTCAAACATATCACAACATCACATGGATCCTACCTCTGGAAACAAATACTTTTAATAAATCACATTTGATGAATATTTAGTTGCATTAACTTCGCAGACACAATTTTATTGAGATGGGTAATACCAAAGCCCATTTATCAAGAAAACTCAAAATTAAAATGAAATCTCTCAGTGATAGTGGCAGTTGATCATGCAGAAAGGGACATGCTTTGTAAGGAACTTGTCACGCGTTGCCTAAAGCTAGGGACATCTTTCATATAAAATAGGGAAGAATAACTAATCAAGAACTCATTTTGGGGGAAATGTATAAAGAATTGTGCATAAGTTCTTTTACAATTATTTAAAGTGAGAAAATAATTGAGAATCGTGTGATTTTTTTTTTTAAGACAAGTTCCTCTCTGGAAAAGAGTACATAGATTTCTCTTATTACTGCATCAAATACTTCAAGAACTCAAAACAATCGCATTGAAATAAGCATTAATAAAATGTGAACTATTTTTTTTTAAATTTAAAATTTACTCAAAACTAATTTCAAACAAAATATTTTGATGCTTTCAAAATGAGAAATCTATATAAGAGATTAAAGCTGGAAAAGACCTTTAGCAATTAATTCTTAAGCAGCTTTAAGTCTATGTTTGCAAATAGCAAAACGAACAAACAAATTGTTCTGTTTTTTTTGTTTATTTGTTTCCTTTTAAATTAAGATTAAATCAACTTCATTCTCTCTTTTTTTAGATTATTACTTGTGTAGCTGTATATTTTTGAGGTTGTGCATTTGTCCAAAGTTTTCGGGTCTAGCGTTTGCAGGTGCATGTCATGCGGAGGGTGTGGGGTGTGTTGTGCTTGTATACAGATACCTCAGTTACAACGCTGAGTGGAGGGAGACCCGACCGCTGTCAGCCAAGTCTGTTACAATATAACATGGATTTACAGTTGGTGTGGGCAGAAAATACCAACAATACGGTAATCAGAGATGCCAACCATTCCATTTTGGGCGTAATAGTTACAATTTTGAGCCATAATTACGTTTACAGTCGACCTCCCCCAAATTACGATTTTTGTCATATTTTTCATAAATTGTTTCATAAAACATCACAGTGAGCACATTGTTATTGCATTGGTTACATGAACATCCTACAGGGCGACCAAACTGACCATTGAGAGCCAATTGTGTTAAAATGTCCATTACTCAGTGAAACAAGGTCTCTGATTGGTTGTTATGTTAAAACACACTCAAGTCATTTCATCGATCGATCTTTATGGATGCAAACAGGAAACTGATTCCATGTACATCAATATGACTTCAGAACTCAAAACACCACATTGTCTTTCTAAAAACAGCTAATCAGCCCTCTAAGTTCGTTTTTTGTGTGAGGGAGCCAAGCGGCTCCTAACATGAATATCTTAGGAGCCAAACCTAAGTTTTTAGGAGCCAAATCTTCAAAAAAATTGTCGGTAGTTATGTTTACTTTGAGGTCGCCAAGTGGCTAACAGTACAAAACTTTAGGCCACCAATCATAGACTTAAGTCACATTTGGCCACCAAGGGGTGCTACTGAGAGGGCTGTTATTAATGTCACATGATGAATTTTATAAACGTGGAGCAATGACACATTTCACACATGTCCAGGCCTAACGAAAATGTCGAAGCGAAAACCCATATCATGGTACTGTTAAGATTACTCCTTTTTAAATGAAATTACGTGGTTATGGCTCACTGATCACTCCAAAGCTTCCATTAGGGTGGCATCTCTGATGGTAATGCTATCATATACCCATCTTCATGTTTTCATGGCTTGAGAAGAATGTGAAAACATGCAACTAAGAATCAAGATTAAAGCAAGAAAATACATTAGGCTATGAAGATGGCAAGCAGTTACCGTATTCGACGTAATAAGCGCCCAGGCGCTCTCAAACTTAATACGGGGCTCTTATTGGAATATTATTTTGGTGGAAAAAACCAGAGTTGAAAGATACATTTCGTGGTTTATGCTGACGGCCTGAACTGTTTATATACGACAGATATATTTTTCCAGAATTTAATTGCCCATAATTAAGGCTGCATATAACACACGAGTGTGCATTATACACGAATAAATAAGTCTTGTGTACATTGATCAATCGAAAGGAGTGCTAATGGGGATTGTTCACTAGCCAATATATTAGCAATTATCGCCGTGGGGGCTTATTAGAGCGGGGCGCTTATTACGTTGAATACGGTAAGCATGTTACGTGACAATGTCGTTAAAATCAGTTCTTGCTCCTGCTACAGGAGGACATCCCATTACGGGTCACGTCAGTACGACCATTCACAAACTTTGACCAACCAATGATATGATTATCAGTCAAGCAGAAAGCAGCTTTCTTGAGCTTTATGGCACTAGTTTCAAACTTCCATTTCAGACTACGGTTTGAAAAATATTTGGACAAATTTATCAATTCAAAGTTTTAAAACTGAACAAAAGAACATTCTGGAATGTCCAACAGATGGCCGAGATTGTATGGCAGTACTTCCCACGGGCTTTGAAACGTTTCTTCCATTTTTTTAATGTTTAGCAAACTGATGCGAGCTATTGACGGCGATTTTGACGGAATCAGACGTACATCCCGCAACTGTTGTTCTGAATGCTCCGTGATAACAATTTAGAGGTTGCATGATTAGAAAACACATTCTGACTGTCACTTTCCCGTTCTGGTAAGTGGTGCCCTGATTGGTCAGATGAAAGGTCGTTCTGACGTGACCCATAATGGTTTGTCCACAGATCTTTGCAGTAGCAAGAACTAAGATCTGATTTCAATGAGATTGGTTAAATGACAAATGGAAATAGCAGAGAAACTTGCAAGAATTGATACATGTAAATACACTGGAAATCATTAATGTTATAACATTAAATGTATATTAAGAGTTATAACATCCCTGATTTTTCAAATTTCCTCGAATAAATATTTTGAATTATTTTTTTTCTAAATCACAAAAAAAAGAAGTTTTTTCTTTCAAAAGCTTGAACAGTTTGAAACTTTTTCAAATAAAAACTAACACCAATGACTGTAATATGTGTCAAGATATGTATTAATTTAAGTTAACCAATGCCAAAATATTGGAATAACCACAATAAGATCTAACACAAACACACACCGAACAGACAGGGTAACTAATACAGACACAGACCTCTACAGACACAAACACAGACCTACATAGACACAGACATACAGAGAGACAGTTGTTAAATGTGCTGTTGATAGTGTATCTACAGGAAGTTAATGCAACTCCAATCACCAAAGCAGGTTTGTATAGAACATCAAGTTTAAGTTAGTTAAAACACGCATTAGTTTTGGTTCAATGTAAAACTATGATCTTATCCTTGCTTTACATTTCCAACCAGAACTGAGGAGTCGTGTTTTAACCTATTCTTCATGAGATGGACCCAATAGAACAAATTCACGGAACCAGACACCCAAACCCAGAGAGACAGAACACAATGCCCACCAGGGAAGTGTCGGCGATGTTGTATGCTCCACTGGGTGGGGGAGTGGAAGCGGTGGTAGTCGCCGGGCGCCAGATAGATGATGGTGTGGTACAGCCGGTGCCCTGGTTTCACCCCCAGCCGTTCCTGGTACTCCTTGTCAGACAGGTGGTTGATGTCCTCGCCATGTCGAGTTCGCTGCCAGGCTGGCCCCAGGAAACCCCGGAGTGAGTATGTGACCCCCTTGACTTGTTCCACCACCCCGTTCTTCACCTGGCCATGGTGCAGGATCTTGCCATCAGCCGGGCTTGTCTGCAAACAGTGAGTGAGTGAGTGAGTGAGTGAGTGAGTGAGTGAGTGAGTGAGTGAGTGAGTGAGTGAGTGAGTGAGTGAGTGAGTGAGTGAGTGAGTGAGAGTGAAAATTTAACGTCCCATCGGCATTATTGCAGCCATATAGCGACTAGTGAGTAAGTGAATTGGGTTTAACTCCGCTTTGGAAGTATTTAAGGGATATCACAGCGTGTCAGCTTGATGTGGGAGGATAGAACAAACTGATGCATGTCGTTTACCACTCTGCTGGAACCATGAGCATGGGTATTGTGCTGAGAAACCTAGAAACACAATTGGGGTGAACAGTGATTCGAACCCATGATCATAAGTTCTGGCAGCATTCATGAGAGACTCGTTTTAATCCAGGACAAGCCGAATAGTGACTCGTGCCCCTCTCCCTTTTCGCGACCGGGTTCCGTCTTAGCGCAAACAGACATACCTAAACAATTGTCAGCTCGTTGCGTAATGGTTCACATATATTTCCCCATATATTATACATATTTCAGATGCAGTTTGAAGCACATCGGGACGTCCAGAATCATACAGTATGATTGAACACATTTAACTATGTCTTGGGTATATCTTTAGATGCAAGACGTATGTAAAATCAAAAATTATTATTCTTTGATGAAGAACTTGAAATCATATGTGCATTCTGATTGGTTTGTCGTATTTTCGCACATAACATTCATCGATAGGGGGACGAGTCTTCTTGCAGGTTACGGAAAGGGGCGAGTGGTGACGAATGGTTCTGGCTGGCTCAAGGGAGATAACTCTGCACTGTGAATTGTGTCCCCTTGGACAACTGGCAGGGCAAACCTCAGTACATGGTTAATAATTTCCACATATGGTTATTGAACATTCTACCATGAATTTGGAATTTACTCGATTCTGATTGGTCAATCAGAGGCTATTAAATCACAATAAACCCCCTCTGATTGAAACAGTTGGTTTGACGGCCGCATCACCGCGGAAGCTAATATTCATAGAATAGTACTATTTTCAGTCAGTGTCGGTAGGCATATTTAAATAATTATATCTGTAATTACAGGTTACAAAATGCACAGACGCAGTTACTACAATATTCAAAGGATGTGTGGCAATACATTTCGTGCAGAAAACACGATAGAAATCTACACAGGGAATGATTTTACGTTTTGGAGACACAGAGAGCTTGGAATTTTGGCGCTTTTCTATATACGACTGTGACGTCATTTCTTTCACGTCACAATGAGCGTTATGACGTCATGATGGTGACGTGCGATGTAGAGCGAAAGCCTTGCAAAGCTTGCTTTGTTTTCTTTAGGGATGCCCACCTCATGTCAGCTTACCAAGCTGCCGTGCTTATATGCTTTCAACGCCTGTCATATGTTAGAGTGAAGTATTACGGTGTAAACAAACTGCTTGAGTATATACGGCACCATAATTTGTTCGGTGATTCCGTAATTCAGATCGATAACCCACTCAAAACACTGAACTCAACCCATGCCGCTTCACTCAGTATATTTGCTAACATCAAAGAGTTCGCATTTTATTTAGTCATGGTAGAATGGAGATGAACATACTGTGTTTTCAATGTAGAGCTAGGTTACCTGTAGATTTAACGCTGTGCGTTCGGTTCCAAATTCAATTTAGCGGGGTTAAATCTACAGGTAACCTAGCTCTACATTGAAAACACAGTATGTTTATCTCCTAATTGGATACTAGTTGTGAGAAGAAAGATTTAAAAAAAAGGAAATATCAAAATTGCTTCAAAGGGCACTAACAATCTGACACCATAATCTTTTAAATTACATGTATTATCTTGACTAAATCAAGAGAGTGAGTGAGTGAGCGAGTGATTATTGCTTATCGTTGTACCAGCAATCAAATAGTTATTCATGGAGATAAATCAACACAAAAAAGGTGCTCTTATCTTGAATGGGGTCACTTATTCGAGGAATTGGGCAAGAAAAAAAAAGGATTGTTTACCATGTATTTGTTTACCTAACACTGTAAAGTCCAAAGTCCATAACACACAGTCACATACTTAAAGGGCAAGTTCACACGGAAATGAACCTATTTTTCTTGTACTTTTTCCACATTAAAAGTGTTAACCTAGTAGTGTCATAGACAAAAATATAAAAATATCACAATTAATTAACATATGTTTTGCATTAAAACGATTTATATTTTTCACATTTACCAAGTGTTCTATTTTCATAACAAAAACACCATGGCTTATGCCCCTTGCAATATGACGTCATTGGTGCCAATTGATAAACATTATGACGTCATCATGCTATGTTAGAGCCGCTTCACGTGGTGTAGGTACGGCTGTGTGATTCTAGCGTCTCAGATGCCAGCCAGCATAGTGTTATGCTGAGTCACCACTGCACCAGAGTGTGTCGTAGGCCATGTTGTTTTACCGAAAACTGGTACTTGATATCTTTTGCGTTGAGAATAGACAGGGATCCAGTTGAATTGGCACCAATTACGTCATAATCTAAGGGGGATAACTCAAGCCTGTTTAGCTCGAAAAACGAAGGCCTCATAACGGCATATCATTTTCAAACTATTGTGAGCTTCCTACTTTCAATGTGAAAAAAATGAGTTTACATTTTCAAACACAGATATTAACTAATTCTAAAATTGCATTTTGTTTAGAAAAAGAAAGAAAGTGATTTTTGCGTGTACACTTCCCCTTTAAGTGATCACTAGTTACCATGGCAACAAATACAACAATGTCTAGATGCCATTACATAATTCAACACCAAATTCAAAAGTATTCGGACATGGAATACATAGGTGTGGCAGTACAAGACTGACAAACATCTTGTTGAATATGTTCGTACATACTGGTGATATACATAAGAAAACACATTTTTTTGACCAACTGATTAAGACCTCAGAACTGAGGTCAACAGTCAGAGTCCAAGTTGACATCAGGTGTGTGCAGATATACACAGGGAATCAACATGTTGACGGAGCTGTGAGATTACACTGCCCTCTGGTGGTCAGTCAGTCTACAGGTTCTGCATGACACCATCAGAGGCGAGAGGTAAAGGCCGGGTGATACTGGGGTGAGATAACAGTGTGTATTTACTGACTGATATCACCATGTCACGCCCACACTCCACAGTATCACCTGTCCGGCTGCAAGGTCAATAAACGGACTTCGGGACAACATCAGAAGGATATAAATATAGAATGTTCATGTAAGAATTCGTAAACGGTCGTGAAAATTCCGGTCGATTGCAGGATTTGCAAAGCATGCGCACCGCCAACTCATTGTCAACAGATATTTTCCAAATCTTCAATGTTTTTAATGAAGGTGCTCATGTGATTTGATGCATTTCGCGTAAGACCCATTTATCACAATATAGATCTTGATTATTGTCCTGACTGGGTCCTGCTATTTTGTTTGAAGCAAATTCAAGTGATACAAGAGGTGGAATCTGATTGGTCAATGGGAGAGGCTTAGAAGGGACATAACCTGTAATAGCCAAAGGTAGAGCCCAGGAATTCCAGTCAAGTTCAGCTGGGGTGGAAACTGGATTTTTAAAGTCAGTTAACTCTCTTGCCTCGGGAAGATGCAGTATAATAAGCCAACAGCTTAACCATTGTGCTACCCCAATGCCCTCACAATCTAGCAGTAATCTTGTTGAGTGCCGCATTGAACAACATTCGCTCACTGACAGACAACTCACCAGGGAATGAGCATCATCAATAGGTCGGACGTGGGATTTCAGTTGTCGACGGAAAAACTCTCCAAGGTTTCGGTAGTGCTTCAAATCTTCAATCTCGGCCTCAGACAGATTACATCCAAACATCCAGACATAAATACTGAGGAGCGGATGACGCAGGAAGACAGGAAGGTGAAGGTCGTTGAAGCGCCCCCACAGTCTGGATATTGCTTTTAAAGGCATCTTTCGGTATAACGTGACCTGGAACAGCCATCACATGAATACATCATAAAAATATTTCAACCAAATGGCTTTTCAACAAAGCACCTTATCATCCCAAAAGAGAGCACATACGGACAAAATATATAAAATGACACATACAAAGAACTATAACACAAATACCAATAACCTGAAAAGAAAACACAAACTTGTACAAATATTGTTTTGTGCATCACCATCTTAATTAGAATTCTAATGATTCTCTGTAGACAGTGTACATGCGACAAATAACACAGTAAATACTTTTTTGCTGATGTTGGAGGTTGCTAAAATGCTTCTCCTGCCTGCATGGGGAAGACATATGAAACCCAAAGGTCAGCGACATTTGAGGCACTTAAAAAATCATCTGATGACTTGGCAAAACATTTCCATGACTTAGATCGTATCTTGACGTCTTATTAACAGATTATGAAACCAAGAAAGGCTTGCATGAAGATATGGAACACTTTGACAGTTTCTTGACAGCGTTCTAAAGGAAATAATTGTAGTTTAGGTTGACCTTTTGATTGAATCATCCTTCAAGATTTAAGTGATTGAGTGAGTATGATTTTACGCCGCTTTTAGCAATATTCCAGCAATATCACAGCGAGGGTCACCAGAAATGGGCTTCACACATTGTACCCATGTCGGGAATCGAACATGGGTCTTCGGCGTAGCGAGCGAAAGCTTTTACCACTAGGCTACCCGACTGCCCCCTTAAAGATTTAAGAATTCCATCAGATATTATGTGGCAATAGAGTACTGTCAGTGGCTGCAAATGAATGAAGCGCTTGTACATGGTGACTAGAATATTTTAGTGATCTGTGGCAACCAGAGTACTTCAGAGTTATCTGCCTTTGTTTATCAACTCTGGGACAGACTACATCATTTTAAAAGTTTCCTTAGGTGACCGTCATAAGAAGGCTGTCTGTACCTATAGAAGAGTGATATGAGGGTGACTGGAGACCTACCAGTGGTTTACAACAAAGGTAATATTTCTCAAGTTTCCCAGGTAGAATGAATTCCAATGAATTAAGTCATTACTTATTGATGTTTGCAGCTTGAATAAGTGGTCTCCCAAACTGCACTTGCTGGGTTCAAAACCAAGGTCCATGACTCGTCCACAAAAATACTGCAAGACACCGACAGACCAACCATTTAAAACTCTGAAGGCAGTGTTCGGAATAAGCGCCTGCCCTAAGGTGCGGGACAGGTAGATCTCTCATGTCTGGCCCATAGTTTCAAATCTGTATGGCTCCTTGAAGTAAATTTATTTGTTGATTTAGTTGTCACAATTTGCTGCAGTTTTTTTAAAATGAGGGTCTGAATAGTTTAGTCAGGGCCTGCAGCTTCCAAAGTCTGTGGGTTCTGATGGCGGCCTGGCAATTTATTTTATTTCCAGCACTGTCTGAAGGCCTGGGATTTTTGTAGGAGACAGTGTAGTATTTTGTCACTGCTTCAAGAAATACAACATGGAGCTGAACAATTATACAATTTCACAATCTAAGTAGTATAAACAATGGGGGTACGACACCACGGACCATGTACAGGGCCTGAAAATACTTTCTTTGAGCATGTGTGTTGAGGACATCCAGCGGACATTTTGTTTGGTGTAAAACCTGAGAGCAAAATGATTTTTCCAGTATTTTCTATAACAAATTATTTCTTTCAAACAATTCCCAGCCACCAAACCTGACCTACACACCAGATAATCCAATGACTTGTTCCTAATTCACACAAAGAACAAGCATGAAATACTCAGATCCTCTGCCAATACAGTCTAAGTCAAAGTTGCCATGGAAACTCGAAAAATAAACTATTAAAAAATTCCAAACTATCAAAAGGCACCAGCTCACCACTAGACCTATCGACACGCCAAGTTTGGTTAAGATATCTCTCATAATTTTTTTAGTTCTGCTCCGGAAACGAAACGGGATGGAGGGAGGAAGGGATAGACGGAAGGACAGACGGACAGCACCCATTCCTATATCCCCCTTCCACTTCGTAGCAGGGGATAATAAAGTTTTAATTACCTCTTCTGCAGTGAATAATGCACAACAGCGCCACATCCTGCTTATTGTAACTGATACCTGTATCGCTATTGTCAGCTTATGTGACATGTAACAAATTCCAACAGCACATAAACACATGAAAATTAGTCACCTGAAACAGCATTGTCTAAAACAGTGTCTATTCATTGGCATAAAGTACCCAATAGACGGATCAAAAGGAGTAAAAACATATCAAATACCCAAAGAAAACTATCATTACTCAAAGGAATCGATAATATGTAATTACTTTAGAAGCAGGAAAATGATACGGAATTGTTACGTGATGTTTCTGACATACACACACTGCTATCAGACAATGCTTTCAAAGCTGCAACAAGAAATCTGATCTTTGGATAATGTAACCTTAATTATTCATAAAGAATTACTTTTCGGCTCTTCTTCATTGCTTTCAATCATGTTCATAATTATTCAGTACACATGATACAAACATGTGTTACTCAGAATAAAATGATGTCACACGAGCAAAGTATTATCTGTGCTATTTACATACTGCACTAGAAATAAGTAGGGGTGTCATTTATTTAAATATTATTATCGACATATTGACTCCTAAGTATCATTATAATAAACATATAATAAATAATTAGTTATTCTGTATAAGTACAGATAAAAAGACAAACCCTATCTAGACCTAAATTACTCAATGTAATGCTAATATTAATTTTGCGACCCATAAAAGTTTCAAAATTGAATTTTCTATCTTCTCATAAACATGAACAAGGCTGCAGTGAATTAATTAGAAGATAAATACTATGTGTGTGTCTATTTCCGGGATTTTATCCAGTATTTGCATCTTGGAAATTTTCATTTGAGCCCCTCAAGCTAACGCTTTTGGGTCTCAAGATGAATTTCCAAGATGCAAATACTCGATAAAATCCCGGAAATAGACACACACATAGTATTTATCGATATTGTAAACCTATTGTTTTATTTAGAATAAAACATGTGCACTCTTTAACACCTCGTACTTACTCGGTTGTGAGGCGTCAACATCGAACGTTCTGTTGTTGCTATGGTGATTAGTATTAGTATGCAAAAAATGCTGAGTAATTATGTATTCCTACACAGTGATTTGGTCGCTTGCTTCAGGGAATGCAAATCATATTTTCACCCTTTGACATTTGGTCATGTGACCCAAATTAGCCAATCACAACACAGAACACACTTTCTATAGGTTTACAATTTAGTATCGATATTCATCAGTATTAAAGTATCGGTATTCGCGTTTCTCTTGCCAATGAGTATAGTAACATATAATCCATATAGAGTATGATTATACTGGAAAGATAGTCATATTATTGGATAGTGTGATTATGCTTTATACATGCAGACAATGTCGTGCTTTCACGTATGGCACTAAGAGTCTCTAATTGTTTGACAGGCATTACTTAGAAGTTGACAAATGACAAACTAGAGTTTCATTGGCTTCCACCTTTGTGTTCCCTGTCCATCGTGTTGTGACAGTATTACCCTTCTGTTGTCATTACATTCGTCACCACTCGCCCCTTGCCGTAACCTACAAGAGGACTCGTCCCCCTATTATTGAATGTTATGTGCGAAAATACGACAAACCAATCGGAATGCATGTACGATTTCAAGTTCTTTGTCACAGAATCCCTCAGAAATATATTTTGATTTTACATATGTGTTGCATCTAACATATACCCAAGACACAGTTAAATGTCTTCAATCATACTGTATAATTCTGCACGTCCCAATGGGCTTTAAATTGCATGTGGAATACATATAATATATGGTGAATCATATGTGAAGCATTGCGCAACGAGTTGACAATTGTATTAGGTATGCCCGTTTGCGCTAAGACGGAACCCGGTCGTAAAAATGGCCATGAGAGGGGCACGAGTCACTATTCGGCTTGTCCCAGAATAAAACGAGTTGGTCTATACCGAAACGTCCCCTTTACAGTATTTAAGAAGTTGGTATCCATAAATTGTGTCTACTTTGTAAGAGTCTCTAAACCTATACCAAAAATTGCTAACAGACAATGAAATCAAGTGTCCCTCTAAGACGTCCATTAGTTAACTGTTATCACAGAACATCTATTTTCCCATGAAGACACAACTAACAGAATCATTGTAGTGACCCTTCTTTATGCTGTACTTGTGTTGCTATACTATTTGAGTGCATTAATAATGATATGCCTCTTAAAAGAAATTAACTGAATCAGTTTCTCTGAGACATTTGACTAAATACAGTTTCTGAGACAACTGACTGAATAGTTTCTGAGACAATTGACTAAATACTGTTTCTCTGAGATGATTGTTTGAACAAATTATCTGAGCATGCTAAACATAGTTTCTCTAAGATGATTAATTAACTAAATACAGTTTCTTGAGTTGATCAAGTAAGTATTAATGGTGACTCCCTGCACTACAAACCAAGTAATCATCGTCCTGATATATGAAAATGAGAACCAGGACTGACTTGTCTATTTGACTACCGTATTTGACACAATAAGCACCCGCTCTAATAAGCGCCCACAGCGATATTTGTAATTTATTGGCTAGTGAACAATCCCAATTAGCACCCCTTCCAATTGATCAATGTATACAAGACTTATATATTTGCGTACAATATGCTCTCGTGTGTTATATGCACCCTTAATTATGGGCAATTAAATTCTGGAAAAATATACGTCATACATAAACATTTTAGGCTGTCAGCATAAACCACGAAATTTATCTTTCAACTCTGTTTTTTTCACCAAAACAATATTCTAATAAGAGCCCCTTATTTCTAATTTTGAGAACACCCTGGGCGCTTATTACGTTGAATACGGTATTTCTGCTTTAGCCAAGCTCAAGTTCCCATTGGCTGCTCGTTAAGCTGTTATCTTTGTACTTCAATCATATGTCGTGTAAACATATCAACATGTATATACATTTACTCTACACACATATCAGTATTCAACCAACGAATGGCCATGAACTCGCCCTGAAAAGCCGTTACAAAGAATATAGAAGTTATCCCTAAAAAAAGTATCACATATTCTAACATAGTTTCATAACCAAGTTTCATAAAAACTCAAACATGTGGTACACATGGAGATGTTGAATAAAACTTTTGGTTTAAAGATAAATGAAAAAACATCCATTGGCTTACCGTCTTGTTGACTTTTCTTTGATGGTGGCGAAGACTGTGCTTAGCTTTCGGATTTTTTTTAACCCATAATTTCAGTCTCTTTAAGACGGATTTATGCACGTATCGGACCTTCTTCCCCACTATCTGTTGCACACTGGCTGGAACGCTCTTATTAATACCGTACATGACCAGCAAATGTGGGGAGAGTTTTCTCATTTGGCACCAGAAGTCACTGGCGTAGATCTTGAGGAATTGCAGAAGGCCTCTCCGTGTCGTGCGCATCCCCCCGACAATCACCGTTATAAGGATTGTGGAGTATATGAAAGTTGGATTGAGTTTATGGAAGGATGTTAGAGAAGAGAGGCCGGACTGCATGTTGGTGGTCGACACACTGATGGAAGACATGACGTTACTGCTTTGCTCGCTGTCCGGGGGAAAAACAGACATTGTTCAGCTTTTGATGGTGAAACCGTTTCAGGTTTAGAAAGTTTATTTACAACCTATTTCTATCATGTAATGCCTGAATTAGGCAACGGAGGACATATAACCTTCTTGAAGAAAAGTCAAATCGTTCCTGAGAGTCCAGAGTGTTTCAATACAACCAAGTCCAGTAAAGTCACGGAGTCGTCATGCTGGTCATTAGCAGAGTGTTTCAATAAACAAAGTCCAGTAATATGATGGAGCTGTCATCCCAGCATCGTGTCTGGGTGACAAGGAGATAATCAGTTATATAGCAGGCCGTAATGTGACATCACAAGTGGAGGATCCCTATCTCGGGAGATTCCACTCTCCAGTCACGTAGCAGCCAATCCCATGCTGAAAAATGGACTGAGCTGCTTGGGTCTGGGTATAAAACGATGTGACACCACTTCACTCTCCCTCTGTTTTGATCTGTTGGGTAAGCTCACACTCGCCAACACAAATGAAAGACTTGGAAACATTTACATTAATAACTATCCAAATTATAAAATTGTCAATGTGGGCTGAGTTGTTTCATGAAAGAAGTTATGATAAAAACATCTACTGGTATTAAATCACACTGTAATTGCTTGACACAAGGACACGCTACAATTGGGGAATGGACAGTCACTGATCTCTCCACTACTATATTCATCTATCCCTTCCTTCACTTCATCCTTAACCCATCCATCCATCCATCTATCTTTCCATCCTTCCTTCCTTCCTCCCTCCCTCCCTTCCATCCATCCTTCCATCCATCCATCTTTCAATCCATCCATCCATCCAACCAATCATCCATCCTCCCTTCCATCCTCCCTTCCATCCATCCATCTTTCAATCCATCCATCCATCCAATCATCCATTCACCCTTCTATCCATCCTTCTATCCATACATCCATCCATCCTCGCTTCCATCCATACATCCACCAAACCACTCACCAACCAATCTGCCCTTTCATGCATGTATTCATCCATCTATCCATTCATCCATCTGTCAACCTAATCATCTGTCCACCCATCCATCCATCTTTGATCCATCTACCAATGCAACAACTCCATCTGGATACCATCTAGCCCACCACCCATCCACCTATCTGACACAAATAATAATTGAATTTTAAATATAAAAAAGTTAAATACTGGTTTTCCAAGGTCAGAGTTAGACTAAGGTTCTATGGAGTATTACCTTTGCAATGAGAAGCACAATTCTGACATTATAAAAGGACAGTTTACGGATGGTCAAAATATCAATAAACGTATGACTCTTTTGTAACCTGGGGAGGGTACTGAAAGAATCAAAGAAGAAATTAAAGAGATTTGATTGAAAAGAGGAAATGATATGAAATGTGGAGATCTCTTTCTTTGTCAACTCAATGATAATAAACTCTCTCTGTTCACCCCCCCCCCCCCCCCCCCCCCACAGCTCTGTGTCCCCACCACCCAACTGTGTCCCCTCCTCACCCAAATACAAAAACTGTCTCCCCCCAACTGTGTCCCCGTCCCCAACTGTGTCCCCTCCCCACCCAAATAAAAAAACTGTCTCAACCCCCCCAAATGTCTTCTCTCTCTCTCCCCCCCCCCAAAAAAACAACAACCCAAAACTGTGTCCCCAACCCCCAACTGTGTCCCCACCCCCCAACTGTGTCCCCTCCCTACACTACAGTAAGTAAACAATATTCTAGCTACATCCTGATTGCCTGTAAATATTTGAGTTTGGGCCAGACAAACCAGTTTTTGATAGCATGAGCAACGTCCAATGCTGTGGGGTCTCACAACCTGCTGTCCATTTGAGTCTCCCCAAGTGAGGGACTATGGTTTAATGCAATTTAAATTGCTTTTAGCAATATTCACGCAATAATATTCCAGGGGACACCGGAAATGGGCTTCCCACACAGTACCCATGTGGGGACATAAACCGGGGCTTTGGCATAATGAATGAACGCTTTAACCACTAGGCTACCTCACCACCCCTCAAGCACTAGGTACTGAATAGGCAAAATGACTGATCAGAAATATATACAAGTTTTATAAAACAGATGGCATGTGTTGCGCTGTCGTCTAAGGCGTCACATGCAATTTGTTGTGTAGAGTTGCATCCCTTGGGCACGCTAGAAACCTATCATTGTGGGTTTAAATTCTCGTTCTTTCGCCCAGGTTATGTTTCTAAGTTTGTCAGCACCATACCCAAGATCATGGGTTTCACCAAAGTGGTAAATGTCTAAGACCTGCATCACTTTGGGCTTTCCTACCACATCAAGCTGACACGCTGTGATATAACCGGAATACTGTCCAAAGCAGCATTAAACCCAACTCACTCGTTAACTTTAACAGAATTCCAGTTATATCAAGACATGACAGATTAATGTAGAAGGAAAATCTGAAGTGATGCAGGACATTTTACCACTTCGGTGAAACCAAAGAGCTGGCGCAGACAAACCTTTATCAGAGATTTGAACCCATGGGGGTAGGATTCCGGCACACCTAAGTGATGAACTATTGTATAGTGAATTTTGATGCAATATTCCAGCTATATGACAGCAGCCTTAAAATAATCCATTCTGGATCAGACAATCCAGTGATTGACATTGGCGGTAAAACGCGGATAAGTACAGATTATACTGGCAAACATTTTGATCTCTCATCTTGACAGTGTTGGCTAGTCATCATGGCACCCTTAATTAGCTATGCAGAGTTGCATCCCTTTGGTGTGCAAGGATTCTATAATCCTTGGATCATGTTGCTGGGGTTGCTGGGGACCTATATTCCTACCCAGAATCCCCCCACATGGACTCATACAACGACTTATTAGATGACTCATAAGATGGCTTAATTAACTTAATTGACTTCTCAAATTAAAAAACTTATTAAATGAAATATAAGATGACTTATTACATGAAATATCAGTTGACTTATTTAACGACCATGAAGACATATCAGCAGGGATTATCCTGGAAGTTTCACCCGTGAGAGAAAATCTCACCTGGTCCAAAAGCAAAGAGATTTTGGCGTGTGATGAGATTTTGCTAATTTTCAGAGATATCTTCTCACAGCAGAAAACTGTATTTGATTTTCGGTATTTGTGACTAGACTATATAGATGTATCCTCCGATATCCTATTTTCTATCATTAATATTCCCCTGTGAATTATTAAAAGATTAGCATGAATGAGTGACTTTGGTTTTACGCCACTTTTAGCAATATTCCAGCAATATCATGGTGGGGAACACCAGAAATTGTACCCATGTCGGGAATCGAACCAGGTCTTAGGTGTGACGAGCGAACGCTTCAACCACTGGCTACCCGACCGCCCCTTAGCATCAGTAGAAACAAAATATTACATAAGTACTTCAGGAAAAATTACACTAATATTTGTATTTCTGTTCATTGTCGACTTTATGGGGAATTATTCTCGTGGACAATTATAGATTGTTTAGGAGGCATGTTTACCACCGTCAGCTGTTCATTTCGTTGGCATGCAGGAGACAACAATCTGCTGTTATCAAATTTCAACAATGTGTCATAACTTAATATATTGAAAGTGATGACATGAAATAGGGAGTGTTGTAAATGGTATTCCAGTTTGTTGGCAAAAAATATATTATTTACATTCCAGTGCTTTATCAATTTTGCAGCGTTATTTCCGTCTGTAATGAGTTCCATACCAGAGATCGGGTCTCTGACCATATCAAAAGAAATCTTCTCAATATGGAGTTTTGAATTAATTAGAAGTGACAGTTCATTTACAATGACTATTGCTCCAGGTTCACCCTTTTAATTAGCAACAATTAAGTAATTTATTTCCTGCAGAAGGTGGCGTGTTTGCCATGTGCAGCTGCAAGAAAATGTTCACAAGTAACAGGAAGTTGAAAAGACAGTTGACATTCACGATATTTATGAATTACAATTGAATGATTAAGTCACAGTTTTAAATTTTTATGGTCAAATCTGGAGGCAAATGTATTGTAGCATATTCCAACAAATCTAAATCCAACTTGCTGTTTGGCCACTAAAAATAGTTCGAAATTCATAATTCACGTATGATGGTCATTTTGCACGAGGATATGTTCATGAAAAAAGTGCCATCCTTAAGACTAGGAGAATCTCATCTAAAATACGATTGTTTCTGATCTGAAAATTTGTGTATTCTTATGGAGAAAGAGTTGAATGTATATTTATTTAGGTTTTGTTGTCATTTAAAAATCGGAATTTGCTTGTGTTTTGAAACTTTACCCGTGATTGCCTTTTTTCTCTTGATTTCTGTACAGACGTACATTCATGTACGTCTTTGATTTCTGCTATTATTTGAGTTAGAAAAAATAAATTTAATTTTAGATCACAGAATAAGATTTTTGTGTGCTACCAAAGTGTTTATTGTAAAAACAAACACTCGCTTTGCCAATCAGGGATAAAAGATATGTTGCACATTCCACCATTGTCCCCTGATGCAAAGCTCCATGCAGTGACATAGGAATCGGCTTTGCACAGTAAGAGATAGCACGCAGTGTTGCGAGTATTCAAATTGCCGTTTCGATTGACAACTTTTGATGATTGAATTAACTACTGTGTAAGTTTTTCAGGTACGGTAGATAATTTTATTCAAGCAATGTGACATTTTTGATTTTTTTGTAGGTGAAAATGAGAGCTTCGATGCACATAAAACTTGATGCACACGATTTTCAATCGCACTGATTAAATGTTCATGCGATATCTATGAAAACTTTGCGAGAATATCGCCGAATCGCGGCCAAAGTCAATCCCTATATTAGATGACTTATTAAATGACACATAAAATGAAAAATGAGATGAGAATTGGTCTATCATCTGTATCTTATAAAAGAATAACAATGCTGCTTTTTCCCAGAATTCCTGCTGGGTAGCCATGGGTGGAGAACTGGAGTCGTCTTTCTCATCCGAATCACCATGGGGTTTGATATGACATTATTCTCATTCAAACAGGACGTAAACTTAGAGACTGTTCGCTACACACATCCTTACCCTACCAGGACACATGTTTGACACTGAATCCCCATTTCAGCCCCCTTACCAATCCCCAGTTACCATGACAACAAACCTCTACAGGGCACAGACTTGTTCTGATGGAGCTTGAATCAATTCAAGAACTGTATCATTAATTTTCTTCTAATTACAAATCTTCTTTCATAAACTTCGAAAAACGAACAAAATTAAACCTTTTATGTCTTATCATCAGTGTGACGAAACTTGTACACAAACACGAAGACAGATGAAAGTGATGCAATAATACTTTTGACTAGTGTAAATTAATAATGACTGTCACGTTTAGATCACGTTTTAGCTGTCATAGTCCCAGTGGAAATTTCCATGCCATATACTTCCATGGTCTCCATGGAAAACCCATTATCAGGCAGCTGGCCCGATATACAACAATATGTAACTCACTGACCTAGTACAAGTTCGCTATCTACTCCACCAGATCACAGTCAAAGTTTCGATCGAAAGTTTGATACAAAAAACTTCTTTCATACAACTCCTTCACACTGAAAAACACACAACAACTTTCAAAATATTCAAGATCTCAACACACAAAAACAGTGAGTGAGTGAGTGAGTATGGTTTTACGCCGCTTTTAGCAATATTCCAGCAATATCACGGCAGGGGTCACCAGAAATGGGCTTCACACATTGTACCCATGTCGGGAATCGAACCCGGGTCTTCGGCGTTAACCACTAGGCTACCCGACCGCCCCCACACAAAAACAAAAAGTCACATGCATTATTCTGATGTATTATAGTGAGTGAGTGAGTATGGTTTTACACCTCTTTTAGCAATATTCCAGTAATATCACGGCGGGGGACACTAGAAATGGGCTTTACACATTGTACCTGATGCATACTACTCTACACAATTTAATGTACTGACAAACGCTATGGGGTTATTGACACTGTAGAGGTTAACGGGGACGTCCTTATCAATGGCACCAACCCAGGCTTGAGGGATTCACCAGAGTTTTAAACATCTAAGACCTGCTTCTATTCAGATTTTCCTCTCAACACGATGCAACTGAAATACTGACCACAGTGGCGTTTAATCCACTATTACGTGATCATATTTATCATATTGTATGTCACTTTTCAAGCACCGTTAAACACAACTCACACACTCCTTAGCAATACTTGTATAATCTTAACCTTAAAAAAGAATGCATAGGTCACAAACTTGATCTACATCATAATCTCTTACAATATGAAACTAAACAATGAAACTTTAAGTTTTCAAATTTCCTAAGGAGTTGTCAGATGGACCAGGTCATATGCCCCCGAAATGGCCATTGTTTTCTGTGGAATATGATCCCCTGGTTTCTTTAAGTCTACGTGTCCATCACTCACCCAGGGAATGAATCTCTGCCCCGTATGTATTCAAATCAACCTGCATCTCTGGATGATGAGACCATCTCGGTGTTGTAGTGGATAGACCGTCTGTTTGGAAAGCAGTAGGTTGGCAGTTCGATACCCAGCCCAGTCAAACCAAAGATGTTTAATGAGGTACCTCTTGTTACCTGCCTGGAGCTCGGCATTAGGGGGATAAAACAAGGACTGGTCAGCTCGATGTTGGTATGATGTGTCTGATTGAGTATCCATGTTAAACTGTGGCATGGTATCTTATTTTCCAAGCCCAATAAAACCAGTCCTAACCAGTGCAAGCAGCCACAAACAGCCATTCACATACATAAGTGCAAAAGTCTTGTACAAGTAGTTAAACCCAACTTTACCACACCTCTGGCTCATAATTCTCTATTTGAAAACGTGAGTACTTACTGGGTGGGGGAGAACTTGTGTGGACTGAGAGTGGGACTTAGTGGAGGGGGATGGGGATTCAGTTGAGGGTGGGGCTTAGAAGAGAGGGGTGGGGACTGAGCTGGGGTGGGGACTTAGTGGAGGGGGTGGGGGGGGGGCTTAGTTGGGACTTAGTGGAGGGGTGGGGACATAGTGGAGTTGGAGACTTAGTGGGGACTTAGTAGGGTGGAGACTTAGTGGGGGGTGGGGACTTAGTGGAGGGTGGAGACTTAGTGGATGGGGGACTTAGTAGGGGGTGGAGACTTAGTGGGGGGTGGAGACTTAGTGGGGGCTGGAGATTTAGAAGGGGTGGAGACTTAGTGGAGGGTGGAGACTTAGTGGGGGTGGAGACTTAGTGGGCGGTGGAGACTTAGTGGGGGGTGGAGACTTAGTGGAGGGTGGAGACTTAGTGGAGGGGGGAGACTTAGTGGAGGGGGGACATAGTGGAGATGGACTTAGAGGAAGGGGGAGTTAGTGGAGGGTGGACTTAGTAGGGTTGAGACTTAGTGGAGTGGGGGGGGGGGGACTTAGAAGAGGGGGGGAGTCTTAGTGGAGACTTAGAGGGGGATGGAGACTTAGTGGAGGGTGGAGATTTAGTGGAGGATGGCGACTTAGTGGAGGGTGGAGATTTAGTGGAGGGTGGAAATTTAGTGGAGGGTGGAGACTTAGTGGGGGGTTGGAGACTTAGTGTGGGGTGGAGACTTAGTGGAGGGTAAAGACTTAGTGGACGGTGGAGACTAAGTGGGGGGGTGGAGACTCAGTGGGGGGTGGAGACTTAATGGGGGTGTAGACTTAGTGGAGGGTGGAGACTTAGTGGAGGGTGGAGACTTAGTTTGGGGTGGAGACTTAGTGGAGGGTGGAGACTTGGGGGGGGGGGGGGGGCGGAGACTCAGTGGAGGGGGGGGGGGGGGCTTAGTGGAGGATGGAGACTTAGTTGGGGCATAGTGGAGGTTGGAGACTTAGTGGGGGTGGAGACTTAGAGGGGGTGGAGACTTAGTTGGGACTTAGTGGAGGGTGGAGACTTAGTGGAGGGTGGAGACTTAGTGGGGTGGTGGAGACTTAGTGGGGGGTTGGAGACTTAGTGTGGGGTGGAGACTTAGTGGAGGGTGAAGACTTAGTGGACGGTGGAGACTTAATGGGGGGTGTAGACTTAGTGGAGGGTGGAGACTTAGTGGGGGGGTGGAGACTTAGTGGAGTGTGGAGACTTAGTTGGGGGTGGAGACTTAGTGGGGACTTAGTGGAGGGTGGAGACTTAGTGGAGGGTGGAGACTTAGTGGGGGGGTGGAGACTTAGTTGGGGGGGTGGAGACTCAGTGGAGGGGGGGGGGGGCTTAGTGGAGGATTGAGACTTAGTGGGGACTAAGTGGAGGGTGGAGCCTTAGTTGAGGGTGGAGACTTAGTGGAGGATGGAGACTTAGTGGGGGGTGGAGACTTAGTGGTGACTTAGTGGAGGGTGGAGACTTAGTGGAGGATGGAGACTTAGTGGGGGGTGGAGACTTAGTGGAGGGTGGAGTCTTAGTGGGGGATGGAGACTTAGTGGAGGGAGGAGACTTAGTGGGGACTAAGTGGAGGGTGGAGCCTTAGTTGAGGGTGGAGACTTAGTGGGGGGTGGAGACTTAGAAGGGTTAGGAGACTTAGTGGGGGATGGAGACTTAGTGGTGACTTAGTGGAGGGTAGAGACTTAGTGGAGGGTGGGGGCATAGTGGAGGGTGGAGACTTAGTGGGGGGGTGGAGACTCAGTGGAGGGGGGGCTTAGTGGAGGGGGGATGGAGACTTAGTGGAGGATGGAGACTTAGTGGGGGCATAGTGGAGGGTGGAGACTTAGTGGGGACTAAGTGGAGGGTGGAGCCTTAGTTGAGGGTGGAGACTTAGTGGAGGGTGGAGCCTTAGTGGGGGGTGGAGACTTAGTGGTGACTTAGTGGAGGGTGGAGACTAAGTGGAGGGTGGAGACTTAGTGGAGGATGGAGACTTTGTGGGGGGTGGAGACTTAGTGGAGGGTGGAGTCTTAGTGCGGGATGGAGACTTAGTGGAGGGTGGAGACTTAGTGGAGGGAGGAGACTTAGTGGGGACTAAGTGGAGGGTGGAGCCTTAGTTGAGGGTGGAGTCTTAGTGGGGGATGGAGACTTAGTGGAGGGTGGAGTCTTAGTGGGGGATGGAGACTTAGTGGAGGGTGGAGACTTAGTGGGGGGTGGAGACTTAGTGGGGGGGGTGGAGACTTAGTGGAGGGCTGGAGACTTAGTGGGGGGTGGAGACTTAGTAGGGACTTAGTGGGGGTGGAGACTTAGTGGAGGGTGGAGACTTAGTCGAGGCTGGAGACTTAGTGGTGACTTGGTGGAGGGGGGAGACTTAGTGGGGGGTGGAGACTTAGTGGGGGGTGGAGACTTAGTGGTGACTTAGTGGAGGGGGGAGATTTAGTGGAGGGGGGAGACTTAGTGGGGAGTTAGTGGAGGGTGGAGACTTAGTGGGGGGTGGAGACTTAGTGGGGACTTAGTGGAGGGTGGAGACTTAGTGGGGGGTGGAGACTTAGTGGAGGGTGGAGACTTAGTGGGGGGTGGAGACTTAGTGGTGACTTAGTGGAGGGTGGAGACTTAGTGGAGGGTGGAGACTTAGTGGGGGGTGGAGACTTAGTGGGGGGTGGAGACTTAGTGGAGCGTGGAGACTTAGTGGTGACTTAGTGGAGGGGGGAGACTTAGTGGTGGGTGGAGACTAAGGGGGGACTTAGTGGAGGGTGGAGACTTAGGGGGGGCATAGTGGAGGATGGAGACTCAGTGGAGGGGGGGTCTTAGTGGAGGGTGGAGACTTAGTGGGGGTGGAGACTTAGTGGGTGGGGGGTGGGGGTGGAGACTTACTAGGGTGGAGACTAAGGGGGGACTTAGTGGAGGGTGGAGACTTAGGGGGGGCATAGTGGAGGATGGAGACTTAGTAGGGTGGGGCTTAGTGGTAGTTTAGTGGAGGGGGACTTAGTTGAGGGTGGGGACTTAGTGGAGGGGGGGTGGGGGGGGGGGTTACTTATTGGAAAACTCCATGGTCTGGTACCTGTTTAAATCAAGATCTTGACTTTGAGAATAACTCAAGCCATAAGAACTTAGGCTTACTTTTCCCAAGTGATTTGATTTTGAAATTAATTTCAATATTAATTTCAGGTCCTTTTCTGAGGAAGTTTCCAAAAATGTGGCTCCCTGATTTCAAGTCGAGATAGCAGCTCAGTTTACCATTGGAACAACGCTTCAAACTAATGAGGACTGTCATATTGCCGGTACTGATGACACTTTAATGGGTTTGCAACATATTCAAAATGGTGCCAGAATAAATTGGTTTTCCAAAATGATAACAATTACAACTACCAATTACAAAGTCCAAATGTTTCATAAATGTTGATGACCTCGCATCTAACATCATGATACTCAATGTCCAAGTCATGGGCAACCTTCTGGTGCACCAGATAACACAAGGTAGGAAGGCAGACGCCAACCAATAGACTCACACGTCCTTGACCTTGGAGCTATCAGGAGATTTCCCTTGGGGGCATGGACACCATGGCAAGTGGGCAGGGACATATGGCACACTGGGGACCTTCTCAACACTTCTTTTAAACACATCGTTTAAACGTGACAGATTTCTGACCAATTCCATCATTCTGAGATCAATGACACAAAGCCATTGTTCCGAAAACGTGGTTCATCTAATTTTAATGAATGATACTAATCTATTCCAGTTGGTGCAATAAGTGTCTGGATGGTTCATGAGAGGTTCCCTTGCCGTGCCGGCAGGGCAAGCTATCTCTGGCGCAGGGAGTGATTGTGACCACCAACACCTGATCTGAAGTATGTTATAGTTTGAGACACAGGGTTCTAATTGACATAAGTCTGCTAGTCTAAGACTTGTAGGATTCTGGAAGAATAAATGACACTTTCTTGAGGTCCACCATGTTTACCATTATGCAGATGCCAACTCTGTAGCGCCTACTTTATGTGGACTTGTGAAAATAAAAATTAATTTCAAACCATGGCCACGCTGTCGGTCATACCGACCTCATCACTCCACTTCACGAACTGTCAAATAATCTCTTCAAAATGACAAGTAGCCCCATTTTATACATATATAAGTCTTTGAAATGAGAACCTTGACAAACCCCCTGGAAATGGTTCAGTGCTGTCAGACTTCCGGGAGGGGTACAGTGCTGTCAGACTTCCGGGAGGGGTACAGTGCTGTCAGACTTCCGGGAGGGGTACAGTGCTGTCAGACTTCCGGGAGGGGTACAGTGCTGTCAGACTTCCGGGAGGGGTACAGTGCTGTCAGACGTCCGGGAGGGGTACAGTGCTGTCAGACTTCCGGGAGGGGTACAGTGCTGTCAGACTTCCGGGAGGGGTACAGTGCTGTCAGACTACCGGGAGGGGTACAGTGCTGTCAGACTTCCGGGAGGCGTACAGTGCTGTCAGACTTCCAGGAGTGGTACAGTGCTGTCAGACTTCCGGGAGGGGTACAGTGCTGTCAGACTTCCGGGAGGGGTACAGTGCTGTTAGACTTCCAAGAATTGGTACAATGCTGTCAGACTTCCGAGATTGGTACAGTGCTGTCAGACTTCCGGGAGGGGTACAGTGCTGTCAGACTTCCAAGAATTGGTACAGTGCTGTCAGACTTCCGAGATTGGTACAGTGCTGTCAGACTTCCGGGAGGGGTACAGTGCTGTCAGACTTCCGGGAGGGGTACAGTGCTGTCAGACTTCCAAGAATTGGTACAGTGCTGTCAGACTTCCGAGATTGGTACAGTGCTGTCAGACTTCCGGGAGGGGTACAGTGCTGTCAGACTTCCGGGAGGGGTACAGTGCTGTCAGACTTCCAAGAATTGGTACAGTGCTGTCAGACTTCCTGGAATTGGTACAGTGCTGTCAAACTCCTGGAAATTGGTACAGTGCTGTCAAACTCCTGGGAATTGGTACAGTGCTGTCAAACTCCTGGGAATTGGTACAGTGCTGTCAAACTCCCGGGAATTGGTACAGTGCTGTCAAACTCCCGGGAATTGGTACAGTGCTGTCAAACTCCTTGGAATTGGTACAGTGCTGTCAAACTCCTGGGAATTGATACAGTGCTGCCAAACTCCCAGGAATTGGTACAGTGCTGTCAAACTCCCGGGAATTGGTACAGTGCTGTCAAACTCCCGGGAATGGGTACAGTGCTGTCAAACTCCTGGGAATTGGTACAGTGCTGCCAATCTTCCAGGAATTGGTACAGTGCTGTCAAACTCCCGGGAATTGGTACAGTGCTGCCAAACTTCCAGGAATTGGTACAGTGCTGTCAAACTCCCGGGAATTGGTACAGTGCTGTCAAACTCCTTGGAATGGGTACAGTGCTGTCAAACTCCTGGAAATTGTTACAGTGCTGTCAAACTCCCGGGAATTGGTACAGTGCTGTCAAACTCCTGGGAATGGATACAGTGCTGTCAAACTCCCGGGAATTGGTACAGTGCTGTCAAACTCCTGGGAATGGGTACAGTGATGTCAAACTCCTGGGAATTGGTACAGTGCTGTCAAACTCCCAGGAATTGGTACAGTGCTGTCAAACTCCCGGGAATTGGTACAGTGCTGTCAAACTCCCGGGAATTGGTACAGTGCTGTCAAACTCCAGGGAATTGGTACAGTGCTGTTAAACTCCTGGGAATTGGTACAGCGCTGTCAAACTCCTGGGAATTGGTACAGTGCTGTTAAACTCCTGGGAATTGGTACAGTGCTGTCAGACTACCGGGAGGGGTACAGTGCTGTCAGACTTCCGGGAGGCGTACAGTGCTGTCAGACTTCCAGGAGTGGTACAGTGCTGTCAGACTTCCGGGAGGGGTACAGTGCTGTCAGACTTCCGGGAGGGGTACAGTGCTGTCAGACTTCCAAGAATTGGTACAGTGCTGTCAGACTTCCGAGATTGGTACAGTGCTGTCAGACTTCCAGGAGGGGTACAGTGCTGTCAGACTTCCAAGAATTGGTACAGTGCTGTCAGACTTCCGAGATTGGTACAGTGCTGTCAGACTTCCGGGAGGGGTACAGTGCTGTCAGACTTCCGGGAGGGGTACAGTGCTGTCAGACTTCCAAGAATTGGTACAGTGCTGTCAGACTTCCGAGATTGGTACAGTGCTGTCAGACTTCCGGGAGGGGTACAGTGCTGTCAGACTTCCGGGAGGGGTACAGTGCTGTCAGACTTCCAAGAATTGGTACAGTGCTGTCAGACTTCCTGGAATTGGTACAGTGCTGTCAAACTCCTGGAAATTGGTACAGTGCTGTCAAACTCCTGGGAATTGGTACAGTGCTGTCAAACTCCTGGGAATTGGTACAGTGCTGTCAAACTCCCGGGAATTGGTACAGTGCTGTCAAACTCCCGGGAATTGGTACAGTGCTGTCAAACTCCTTGGAATTGGTACAGTGCTGTCAAACTCCTGGGAATTGATACAGTGCTGCCAAACTCCCAGGAATTGGTACAGTGCTGTCAAACTCCCGGGAATTGGTACAGTGCTGTCAAACTCCCGGGAATGGGTACAGTGCTGTCAAACTCCTGGGAATTGATACAGTGCTGTCAAACTCCTTGGAATGGGTACAGTGCTGTCAAACTCCTGGAAATTGGTACCGTGCTGTCAAACTCCCGGGAATTGGTACAGTGCTGTCAAACTCCTGGGAATGGATACAGTGCTGTCAAACTCCTGGGAATTGGTACAGTGCTGTCAAACTCCTGGAAATTGGTACAGTGCTGTCAAACTCCTGGGAATTGGTACAGTGCTGTCAAACTCCTGGGAATTGGTACAGTGCTGTCAAACTCCCGGGAATTGGTACAGTGCTGTCAAACTCCCGGGAATTGGTACAGTGCTGTCAAACTCCTTGGAATTGGTACAGTGCTGTCAAACTCCTGGGAATTGATACAGTGCTGCCAAACTCCCAGGAATTGGTACAGTGCTGTCAAACTCCCGGGAATTGGTACAGTGCTGTCAAACTCCTTGGAATGGGTACAGTGCTGTCAAACTCCTGGGAATTGATACAGTGCTGTCAAACTCCTTGGAATGGGTACAGTGCTGTCAAACTCCTGGAAATTGGTACAGTGCTGTCAAACTCCCGGGAATTGGTACAGTGCTGTCAAACTCCTGGGAATGGATACAGTGCTGTCAAACTCCCGGGAATTGGTACAGTGCTGTCAAACTCCTGGGAATTGGTACAGTGCTGTCAAACTCCCGGGAATTGGTACAGTGCTGTCAAACTCCCGGGAATTGGTACAGTGCTGTCAAACTCCTTGGAATTGGTACAGTGCTGTCAAACTCCTGGGAATTGATACAGTGCTGCCAAACTCCCGGGAATTGGTACAGTGCTGTCAAACTCCTGGGAATTGGTACAGTGCTGTCAAACTCCCGGGAATTGGTACAGTGCTGTCAAACTCCTTGGAATTGGTACAGTGCTGTCAAACTCCTGGGAATTGATACAGTGCTGCCAAACTCCCAGGAATTGGTACAGTGCTGTCAAACTCCCAGGAATTGGTACAGTGCTGTCAAACTCCCGGGAATGGGTACAGTGCTGTCAAACTCCTGGGAATTGATACAGTGCTGTCAAACTCCTTGGAATGGGTACAGTGCTGTCAAACTCCTGGAAATTGGTACAGTGCTGTCAAACTCCCGGGAATTGGTACAGTGCTGTCAAACTCCTGGGAATGGATACAGTGCTGTCAAACTCCTGGGAATTGGTACAGTGCTGTCAAACTCCTGGAAATTGGTACAGTGCTGTCAAACTCCTGGGAATTGGTACAGTGCTGTCAAACTCCCGGGAATTGGTACAGTGCTGTCAAACTCCCGGGAATTGGTACAGTGCTGTCAAACTCCTTGGAATTGGTACAGTGCTGTCAAACTCCTGGGAATTGATACAGTGCTGCCAAACTCCCAGGAATTGGTACAGTGCTGTCAAACTCCCGGGAATTGGTACAGTGCTGTCAAACTCCTTGGAATGGGTACAGTGCTGTCAAACTCCTGGGAATTGATACAGTGCTGTCAAACTCCTTGGAATGGGTACAGTGCTGTCAAACTCCTGGAAATTGGTACAGTGCTGTCAAACTCCCGGGAATTGGTACAGTGCTGTCAAACTCCTGGGAATGGATACAGTGCTGTCAAACTCCCGGGAATTGGTACAGTGCTGTCAAACTCCTGGGAATGGGTACAGTGATGTCAAACTCCTGGGAATTGGTACTGTGCTGTCAAACTCCCAGGAATTGGTACAGTGCTGTCAAACTCCCGGGAATTGGTACAGTGCTGTCAAACTCCCGGGAATTGGTACAGTGCTGTCAAACTCCTGGGAATTGGTACAGTGCTGTTAAACTCCTGGGAATTGGTACAGCGCTGTCAAACTCCTGGAAATTGGTACAGTGATGTCAAACTCCTTGGAATTGGTACAGTGCTGTCAAACTCCTGGGAATTGGTACTGTGCTGTCAAACTCCCAGGAATTGGTACAGAGCTGTCAAACTCCTGGGAATTGGTACAGTGCTGTCAAACTCCCGGGAATTGGTACAGTGCTGTCAAACTCCTGGGAATGGGTACAGTGATGTCAAACTCCTGGGAATTGGTACAGTGCTGTCAAACTCCTTGGAATGGGTACAGTGCTGTCAAACTCCTGGAAATTGGTACCGTGCTGTCAAACTCCCGGGAATTGGTACAGTGCTGTCAAACTCCTGGGAATGGATACAGTGCTGTCAAACTCCTGGGAATTGGTACAGTGCTGTCAAACTCCTGGAAATTGGTACAGTGCTGTCAAACTCCTGGGAATTGGTACAGTGCTGTCAAACTCCTGGGAATTGGTACAGTGCTGTCAAACTCCCGGGAATTGGTACAGTGCTGTCAAACTCCCGGGAATTGGTACAGTGCTGTCAAACTCCTTGGAATTGGTACAGTGCTGTCAAACTCCTGGGAATTGATACAGTGCTGCCAAACTCCCAGGAATTGGTACAGTGCTGTCAAACTCCCGGGAATTGGTACAGTGCTGTCAAACTCCTTGGAATGGGTACAGTGCTGTCAAACTCCTGGGAATTGATACAGTGCTGTCAAACTCCTTGGAATGGGTACAGTGCTGTCAAACTCCTGGAAATTGGTACAGTGCTGTCAAACTCCCG